TGGCCATAATTTCAGAAATACGTATATCGACGTCTCTGTACGTGATAAATTCGGACAACGCGCCTAGTAGTCCGTGAACCATGGGTAGTCATGATAAACACAACTTAAGGTGGGAATCTGAGTGCCGTCTTGTCATGTAGAGTCGTGCTCATCAAGTAGGTCCCTGTTGGTCAAGAGACGCGCCAATGACAAGCGGTGGGAGGGTGCGTCATCACAGCATACGGAAACTCGACTCAGCTCCCCTTGAAGTCTCTTGGGGGTGGTAGCAGGCGACACTCAGGTGATTCCCGCCCCAGGTTGCCTCCATATGCACGCTTGGCGCTTCCAATGAAACGAATATGTTGTTCGTGACGTTTGGTACTATACTCCGTAATAAGGGCCACGAGGTTGTACATACCAGCAATAGTAACAACGGCTACCGGGAAAGAAGCCAAGTAAAGCATTTGATGATTGCCTAGAGCTGCTTCACTGACGAGCAACTGGCGAATTCATGTTGCAGCAACCAAGTGCACAACTGCAAAAAAGTTATTCTGACGTGAATATTCCCCTCTCGGGGAAAACAGAGCTACGCACATTTTCTAGCATGTGGTTCCGATGTCTTCTATGTGGGACTCGACACCTGGAGTTGCTGCAGAGTCTTGAGCATCTCCAGGGCTCGGTGACGGCCGACAGTCAACGTTCGCAATACCACAGAGTTCCATTCCTTCCATGTGCCCCAACGACATCTTACAGATGAAGGGACGGGGTTCGTGGATCACACCAAGGACCTCGGTGCATGCGGCTGTTTACATTGTTAGCCTTGGTCTGTTCGTGGAAATTAAGGAGAATTAAGGGAATACATGGGTATTACTTCAGTTTCGTATTCACATTTACCCAGACTTACATTATAAAGCAACCCGCCTATTTTGCGTCGTACTATAACTAACTATTTGATTTAGCAGCCCGCCACCATATTGGTGGCTTGTGACGAGCCTGGTAGACAAAACGCGCAGGCTAGTGCTGGCATGGCTTGTGGCAGACTGTTGTAGCCGGTCCAGGTATATGACTCGGCATTGCATTATTGGGCATATCTATTCTAGAAGATCCCGCAGCTTCGTCAACGGGGTCGACAGACAAAATAAATTCACTTTTGATCGGTCGTGAATAGAGGAGTTCGTCAGCCGTGCTCACATAGTTTCATGACTGAGGGCCGTTGTGGGTGGTTTCCCAGTCTCGAGACGGTATCGATTAGTTTAATGTAGAGAAGTATTTAATGCATCCGCGTCAAATTTGACTGTCGCCAAGGCGTCAATGCCACGCTCCGTGTCCTTGGATGAGGCCTTGGAATGGTGCGCGCGCTGTTTCGTCCCCAGTTGTGAGACGTGCGTTATCGGCAGTAGCTTGGATCGATCTCCCGAAGCTCGAAATTTTCTTTCAGAAAGTGCTAGCGAGCCGCATTTTCTTGATACTCGCCGGCCGTTGATGTAAATTTGCTGGTTTTGAATGTCCTTCAACGTGAGGCGTCCGCTACCCCGCTTGGAGACACATAAGATTTAAGCCACCTAAACAAATCAAGATTATGTTCGAGATATTCCGGGTTGAGATGAGATGATCCGTGGGTCGACCGGGTTCTCATCGTAACCTTGGCAGCTCTTCGCGCCCGGAAAACTTTATAAAGCGCGCACAGTGATACGCCCGGCCTGTGTGAATTGAATTCGAGAGGCCGTGCAACGAACGTGTGATGGATTTGGTCTGTTATCCAAGCAATGTCACGTCAACGTTTGATTACTCGCCGCTGCAAAGGTCCGGTCATTGATTGACAACGCACGTGTCGGCATTTCTGTCCTGTCACCATCTGCATGGCGGAGGATCTCTGCAAACTGGAGACAAAATCGATGTCTGAGCTGCCTGTGCGGTTGACAATTATGTTTGGACGGCGCTCTGAAAAAGTATCCTGTCAGATGGGGTCTCGGTCCGGGCCAATCTTGATCTTCCGAGGGGACGAACCAGACCCCACCACAATACGGAGTACAGATGGGAACTGAGTGCAAGGCCCGGCTTCTGGGCGTGCTTGGCAGACTCCGGGACAATTCGCGAGGCGCAACTACTACTAGTAAACATGAGAATGCGCCGCAGAATAGGCGGGAGCTGGTGACGGCGGAGTGGACGGGACTGGAGGCATCAATCCACTTACTGAGTCTGGATTCCGGGAATCCGCAGCCTGGACGCTGAAGCTGTGTCGAATTAACAACTGAAGTTGAGGCATGTCTTGTCGTCCTTGACCGGCGACGAAGTTGGCAGTTGCACCGGTTCTGTCCCACCCACAGGCGTGGTGTTGTGTCATGACCCCGAAACGCCACGGGATATGCATTACAGCCTCGGCGGTGACTCGAGTCGCGCGGATGTAACCTTGCCAGCGAGATCAGACAACCCTGTCCTAGTTGTGTCGGCGCCGGTATGTCTCACTTCCCTCTGACTTTGATAAGACGGACTGTTGAAAGCTCTTCGAAGCTTCCACATGAAAAGGGAGCCCTCTACCAGGCATCCCGTCGCCCTGACCTCATCGATTGATGGTGCTCATGTGATGTAGTTGCCCGAAAACGGCAAGTCACCTTGGCCAGTGCCTGTTGCTCCTTCCACCGGCTCCAAAGCGTGTTTTCATGTTCCCAAGTGCCTAGGTGCCTCGACACGTGAGGAGGCCGATTGAATTCAAACGTGCTTCATGTTGATTTCGCCAATCTTCGTTCTCCTTGCGACACATCCCATGCGGCAGTTGAGGCTGCTTCCAGCCACCTAGGGATGAAGTGGCTAATTCTTTGACTGGTGCTCGGGATTTTGTCCAACTCAATTGGTACCGGAGCGCCAATTATCCCAGCGCGCCAATGCGGTGCCGTAAATCGTCAATGGCGTTACAATGATCGACACTTATTAAGCTTCCGCTGCCAAAGCTCGGTCGATCAATTGCCCTTACCCCCCTTAAGCTCTTCCGGTTGGCGACAGGTTCGTGGATATCAATTTCTAGACCCTTTGACGGGGTTTTTTGAAGGATAAATATCACGTATTAATGGTGTATCGAGGTCCAAAATGGACAATGATCAGATGATCAGCAGCACGAGTGGGTGAAAGTCTCACCCCTGCACCGAGACAACGAGGAACAGCCTTGCAACTGGCAACAGTCATCGAGACCAAGGAAATTTTGCTGAGCGGCTATGGCCAACTACCTTCTGGAATTACCCTGTCCCGAGACATTCTCAAGAGCCAGTCACAATGGCTGCTTGAGACGTTGGCAGCGGACCAGGTGGGCGCCGATGGGCATGCCTGGTATTAGTTATTATGCCGTGCTCCATACCGAACGATGGCTCCAAATAGGCTGGACCCAAAGAGCCCACCTGGCCACCTGGGCTTGCCTCAGGAACGGCCTGTAAGGAGGGCCTGTCCACTCGTCCTCACCCCTGTGATCATTCAGCCGTATGCATCATTTTGATCTTGACGGCTCGGGAATTCCGCTGTACCTGACGGGACAGTTGTCTTGCCCCAGCATGACTCGAAGCCAGGCTCTTGACAAATATTGATTACCGCCTCCTTGAAAGATTTCACAGAGAGGGTGTAATCTGCTTCGAGTTGGCCCGGAGTTCACCTGCGCAAGACTAAGTTCCATGCTTTTGTCAATGGGCCACCGCGGCGCTGGCCAGGGACCAGTCATGAGAGATGCAGTTTTCCAGCAAATCAATGCGATACGTTGGAGATGTTGCACTTGAGGTACAAAAGCTGACTCGATGGTAGAATCCAGGGAGGCCAATAGCAAGCAGTATGAAGCTGCGTCTTCTTTGAAGCTGTTAGGCCTTGCATTTGATTCGTCACAGCAGAGGCCATTGCTATGCAACCCTGTATATGCTTTGCCTCATTTCCACATTTTGTACGAGCCCTTCCCGAATGCGGAGCACAGACTGAGATCGGGTCCTTTACTTACCATCCACGCAGGTCCACTTGGAGTGCTGCAGATACCAGACGGCCCCGTTTGCCTAGACAAGTGCTAACACCAAGGTCCAACCACGGGCTCTGCATGGCTGCATGGTAGTTACGTGATCGGATAGCCTTGGCCTGTGAGAGGGCCCAAGACCACCGGCCCTCGAAAGTCTCCGTTGAAGTTGTAGGTGTTGCTACCACCCTGCTGAGTCCTGACTGTCCCCTGTTGGGTCCGGGTTGCAACACCTTTCTTAAATGGAGGCTTCTCGCCGCGTGCCGCTTCATGGGTGTGGAATATTGGATGTTTGCGTTTTCTTATTACTTTTTGGTTGTTTGTTTTGCTTTATACCCCGTCTTTCCATGCATGAATCTATTTGCAATCCTTGTGAGAAAGCTAGTACACCACACCCTCATTGCGACTTGTAGCGCATTTTCTGGGAGGCTATAGAAAACAAGCGGCGTTTACTTGCTTGCCTGTCCAAAATTTCCCTACAGCTTTTAATTTGACTTCTCCAACTGGATTCATACTTCGATTCGACGAGACGAAACGACCGGGTCATGATCAGCAGTTGGACCTTGTAGAAGAAAGCCATAGCGCCGCAACAGCCATGGCCGACGAGAGGACAGTCGACCTGACGGAGTATAATGGAGGTTCACTAATCGCGGCGTGTACGGTCTTGTTGGTTACTAGCTGGTTTGCCGTTGGACTACGATCATATACAAGAGTGTTTTTGATGAAGAGTTACCAAGCAGATGACTGGCTTATGCTGATAGCGCAGGTTAGTCTCAAAACGCGAGGGAAAGTCTTGTGCTGGTTTCTAACTCCCCTCCTAATGCAGTTGATCTTCACCGTGACGTGCGCATTTACTCTCGAAGGTGTACGACGTGGCCTGGGCAAGCACAATGCCGCAGTTCCTAGTGAAGATGATCGGGTGGCTGCTCTCATGGTAAGAGGACTCCTCCCATTGTCGCCCATACCACAATTTTTCTCATGGGGGCTGATTCGCGTGACTTGACAGTGGCAAGCTCTAACTATTGCGATTTACATTATCGACATGATGCTTATTAAGCTCAGCATTGGCGTTTTCTTGTTACGGCTGGCCACGAAAAAGCTTTATATTTGGATAATTCGAGCAGCTTTGGTCATTGTCACCCTCTGGAGCTTGGGCATCTTCATATGGGATGTCTTTCAATGCACGCCAGTGGCGAAGCAATGGGACTTTAGGATCACGACAGGTCACTGTGCAGGGCCGAATGAGATCATTTCAGCAGCCTATGCTCTCAGTGTCATGACAATCCTATCGGACTGGTTCTTCGTGAGTTGGCAGCTGGTCATGATTCCACTTCCCAAGAGTGCGTTTTCTAACTGTGTATATACAGGCACTCATTCCTATTCCCATGCTGTGGGGTGTCAAGATGACCAAACAAGCCAAGGCTACAGTCATTGTCATTCTTGGTCTCGGTGTCTTGTATGTCTTTGCTTTCCTTTCTTCTGTATTTTCTACACCTCACATGGCACTAATTCCATTTCTAGCGCCAGTATCGCCACGCTCATCAGGCTCAAATTCCTAGCGGGCCTCGAGGAGACTGACGATTTCTTGTGTACGTTTGTGGCTACCCTCCCCTTTTCATTTTCCTTTGACGGAAAACATGAAACCTTGGCTAATACCCACGTAGTCTCAGTTACAGACGCCACGATATGGAGTCTGGTGGAACCGGGTGTGGCTATCATCGCATCCAGCCTGGCAACTATCCGGCCTCTCCTCCGCGCCCTCAAAATTCGAGGCTTCCTATCGACCGACAAGTACCCCAGCAGCGGCATTTCAGGAGCCGCACGCTACGGACGTGGAAGTCGAAATACGCGTGGGTCTGTGCCGGGCCATGGTCCGACCGACGTGTCTCTCCACAGCGTGACCAAAAAGAGCGACATCCGGTCCAAATATGCTGGTTCCACCATTGACGAATCTCACGACGAGATCCAAACGAGTAGTCAGAATAGTGGCGACGCGCCCAGCGACGCCAAGAGCGAAACTTTTGTCATTGAAGGCGCTGAAAATTCGCCCACGTTGAGCACACATGGTTTGAGACCGGCAAACCGAGTCATGGATGAACTTGCTGATTTGGAGTCCCACGGACGGGAATACCAGTTGAAAAAGGGATGGGGCGTTTAATAGACGATTGCAGCCCTTTTTTCTTCTACAACGTGCGCTGTACTTTGGGAACCAGACAGGCATTTCACCTATTCTATTGTACTCATTGAGGCGTCCCGGCCAGATAGCATAACTGGAGTTGGGGTTTCTGCCTACGGGTCTTATTTTCACGTGAATTCGGGCATGAGACATAATGATACATGTTGAAAGAACAATAGAATACAACATTTTCATCCGCACAACACCAAATACCTTTGGCCAATGTAGAACCTGAGATGAGACGTCATGTATTATCCGAAATCCGACAGCCGCATGTCATATGTCTGAAACACACATTCCGGCAGGGGCCCCATCCAGTTTCCATCCAGACACATTCCCACAGCCCGCATTCACTGTGTCATCCCATATTCACAAACAGCTTGAACAACCAAGGCGCAGCGTTTAAAAGAAAAACCACATGTTACCCCGACGTCATATCATTTCTTTATTTCTTACATTTTCTTTCTTTTTTTGTGGCCATCTTTGCCGGCCTTGGTTTTGTTTTGGATGGGTTCCTGATATGGTCCTCTCGTGGCCGGGGCATGGATCCTCTCACCCTTGTTCTGGGTGATTTGCATGAGATGCTTGGAACGGGGAATGCGACGGCAACATTTTCTCTCTCTCTGGCCCTTGGCACTCTTGCTGCTTTGCATTTCTTATTACAGCAGGATTTCTAGGGCTTCTACCTACTCCACGAAAGCTTCTCAAGCGCAAGCTTTTGCGGCAAAGTAAAACACAAGCCAGGACCCTGTTCATGCGCGTTTTCCCCTTCTCAACTCACGGCCCCATGTTTCGCCCCTATCACATTCAAGTTTGTGTAGCTGAGATGGGTCCCATTCATGCAAGTCTGTCGAGTACCGCTCAGGGGCAGTTTACGTGACGGAGAATACCCCCCAAAAAAGACGAGGAAGTTTCTAGCATGTGTCCCCATGAAGGAAAAAAGGCTCTGGATGCCATGCTCGAGGGACCAGAGGCTTCCAGATCGGTTATCCGGCCGGATTGGGCGGGGTCCGTTGTGCCGCCATGAAGATGCTGGCAGGGTTTTCAAAGTTGATGAATAGGAATTATTGGAGTTTTTGGATCTTGTTTGACAGCCCCTGGTTAAAGTGATTGCGTGTCTGGTGTGGCAAGTGTGATTGAAAGTTTGCCGCTTGTTGCGATTGGTTGCTTGAGAGTTTTTGCTTGCATATCGACTTGGTGACACTACCTCCGCTGACTAATACGACGGAAAGGGACCAAGGAAGCTCATATGCGTTAATAAAGCCCTGTGAAATGCGGGCGCCGTGCAAGAAATATAAAAAGTTGGGGAAGAATGGGTTGTGCCCCTTTGGGGGGTAGACTTTGCTCTTTGCATTGACATGCATGAACCTGAACCAGAAACTGGCGTAATGTGGGCCTGAAGGTAAGGATTTTCTATAATGGGTATCTGGTTCCTTTTCCCTGTCTTACTGTCCAGTCTCATTCTGCAAATAACTCCTGAGGTGCAACGTTCCAGTCCTCTTCTTCGCTCCATATGGGAGCGAGGACGAACCGTCCCATAATCTTGCCCATGCCAACACCATCACCGCCTGCAACTCCTTGTTGCGGCTTTTCATCATTTTCTTCAACAATAACCGCCGTTGTCAGAAAGTTCATACCCGCTGCTGGACTCATCTCCAGTGTCATACCGCCCCAGTCGAGCTCTACCTTGCCTGACTTGCGAACGTTGAGCTTGCCAATCATGCCTCCATGAGATAAAAATTGGGAGCGGAATCCCTCCGTCTCCTGCTCGTCACCAGCGTCGTCATTGTCTGAGTCTCTGCTGGAATCTTCCTGGGTCAAGTCGACCGCGGCGTCGGTAGCGCTTGGAGCGTCCATGATATTGAAATCATCGCCTTCTGCCTTGACTTTCGTCTTGCGTCGAGGCTGTGCTACTTCCCTCAAAGGAGGGATCAGTGGTGGAAATTGGAACAGATATAGACGTCCATCCTTGTTGGACGGCCCCTCAGTTCGTGTTTCTCCCGATTCGTCTGTAACTGTGATGGCTCCGAGTTCACCGGCTAGTAGATCCAAGTCTGTTTGAATGGCTCTCTCCTCGGGGTCTTTTGGTAGCTCCTTCTTGGGCTTCGTAGCCAGAGTTGCCTTCTTCTCTTCATCCGCTGACGCAACATCAATCGCTGTGTCTAGATCCATCGGGTCCTCAGTATCTGGCTCCTTCTTGATCAATACCCTCTTTCCATCTGTATCCCACACGCCCTCTTCTGGTTGATCCATGGGTGGCAAGTTGCCAGACCCCTCTCCATCGACCCATAAGCTTTCTTCCTCTCCAGTAGCATTTTCAGCAGCTTCAAGTTCCGCCGTTGTGGCCACAACAACCCCTTGTTCTTTATGTTCTCGTCTGTATATACCCATGGGCATTGTGATGGCAGTACGACCGCTCAGCGCTGCCATCATTGCCTCATCGTCGCTATCGAGCTCCTCCTCGGGTGTCATGACGTGAAGTTTGTCTGCATTGATTCTTGCCTCGCGCATTCGAACATCGGCTTCAGCAAATCCTTTGCCCTTCGATTCGGATTTTCCTCTGCCACCATAAAAGCCTCCTCCTGCGGCAGCGCCGCTACCACCACCGAACCAACCACCGCCTGCTGAACCACCTGCATTCATCATTAAGTTAGAATTGAGTGAAGCGTGCTTTTTGAATGTGACTGGCGACATACCACCCCCGGCAAAGCCACTAGAGAACGGGCCACTGGCAGTGGAAGCTCCTCTGCCTCCCCTGGCACCCATTGCATCGCCTCGACTCCTTTTGCTTCGATTTCGTGAGCGACCACGTGCTCTCCTCTCAGCGGCTGCTCTTTCATGGGCTTTCCGCTCCTCTTGACGGGCTAGCTTGTCTCTATCTGCTTCATCTCTTCGAAGGATCTTTGGTTTGAGTCGCCCTCCTGTAGTCGTACGAGCTCCAGCAGCTGTGCCTCCTCGGCGCGTAGAGATTCTATTTGTGCTCGAAGATGAGGCTACTGCTTCGTCCAACGTTGCGGGAGTCGCTGTCGTGGGTTCATTCGACGCTCCGCTGTTGTCGGGTGCTTCGCTTGCCTCTGGCGGAGGAGCTCGCCCACCAGCAGACGTGGCGCTTCCGCGACGGACTCCTCTGCCTGTCGCCCTACCTCGTACCATTTTGATGATGGCGTACTGAGGCGGGCAGTGCGAAATGGGTAGTGTTATTGAGACATAGAAATGATGTCAATAGAAATCCTGTGCAGTGTTGACAAGTTCCAGAAAATTTAGGCGGTGGGCAAATATCCATGGTGGGGGACGATATTCTGCCATGACCCCCACAGTGAACGTCCATCTGAACGTGGGGCAGCTTCAACCGACACCATCTCGGTTTACTCGGTATAGAGCAATGCATTAAATGAACACTGCCATTGATTCCTAATCTATATCTTTGAATTTTGGAGGTATGATGCAGAGACGTTGACTGAAAAAAGGGCTTGCCTGTTTGGTAGATTTGCTATATCTTGTCAGTATCACAATGGGTAGCTTTGCTATGGAGTGCATCGTAACAAGATAATATGTCCTATTGTACACACATCAACGCTTCCTCACCAAAGTGGGTGTATATGCTCCCTTCCTTGGCCAACATGGAGCCTATCCATTCCCGACCTGACTCAACTGTTGGCGTTCCAAACTTGACGACAACGCAACCCCGCACACGAGCAGCGGACCATAAGACACCATCTCTAGCTTCACTTTCAATCCTTCTCGCTCTCCATCGTTCAAAATCTGTCATCCTCTTTGACTCATCCTCACGGTCTTGCTCTGTGCGGAAGTCACGGGACCCTAGTCGCGGGAGAGCGTCGAACTCGGAAAGGAAGAATGACCCCAGCTCCTCCATAGCGTGGCCTCGTAGAATCAAGGTGCCAAATAAGCTCATTCTGTGCATTGTGCCGCGAAGTTGTTGCTCAATAGCTTGTGTTCCTTGTTGGGAAAGTATAACCGTGTCCCTTACCAAGAGACGATCTCGCCCCCCTTCCTCAGCTCGAAACCAAACTTCATTCCGACCCGTCCAATTGGTGAAGCTCCAATTTTCTCCTCGCGCAGTTCGACCTGCTGTTACCCAGTCTAGTAGACATAGAGATGATCCCGGTGACAGATGGAATAATTGAGTTTGAGTATAAACACTGTCTTCAAACGGTTGGACAGGATCTGGTAGCAGACACACAGCGGCCCCGTTGTCCACCTGGACAGTCATAAGCTGACTGGTGACAACATCTGGAGACGGTGATTTGAAGATCTTGGTGTGACCTTGTGTGACAAGACTGAGGTTGGCGCCAGGTTGGACATGAATGGAGAGATTGACTGCATCCCCTGCGACCAAACCGCCCCCATATGACAGGAGGAAGACCAGGACGCTTTTTTGGCCGCCAGTGGGCGAAGTCGGAGAGATCAATTTCAATGGATACTGATACGAAATAGACTCGAGTCCATTGCCTCCCCCAGGAAGAATCTTGGCGTTGATTCGGCCCTCACCAGGCACCGAAGACGACTTGGGAAACGGCAGACTCCATGCCTGGATCATGGCCTCATGCGTGGGCAATGACTGAAGCTGATTCTACTCCTGCAGCGTCCAGCCCCGTAGAATGAATGGATTTGACATGAGAAAAGTGGTGGAACCTGTCAACTGGTAGATTACCTGGTTTCTTGCGCTCCGGACATGGTGTTGAACGCCACAGTTTTTTGGTTGCCCGTCGCCCGTTTTGGCCGAGGTGCGGAATGGAATTGGCCGATAAAAAAGAGATGGAGAGCTCGACGGGGCTCGGGCTGGGAGTTTGTCCCAAGGACGGAGCACAGAGCACCTGTGTGGGGTGCCCTGTGATCTGTGATTGGAGACTACATGAAGCCGACACCAACTAGCCACAGATAAGCCACAGCTCAGGAGAAAACGCGGCAATTTCATTGGTCGAAGGGGCATGGTTGCCGGGGTTTTGCCATGAGACAAGTTGAACCTGCCCACTTGCCAAAATAACCAGTTTGACCCCAGCTCGACAGCCGCTCCACGCCAACGCGCGCCTTGATCGCCAAATTCATCAGTCGCGATTCAGGGTTGCCAACCGCCAACCTCTGATCTTGGGTCTTTGCAGATGCTTTCCAAGTGAACAATCGCCTGTAATTGCGACGACTCATCATGGACGCAAACGCCAGTGCCAGCGCAACCCCCGAACCGGATGCGGATTCGCGTCGCCGCTCCGGACGCGTCGTAAAGGTGCCGGCCAAGTACGCGCCGGAGCCCACCAACACCGCTGCGCCGAAGCGCAAGAGAGGTGCACAGGATGGAGAGGGAGTTGACGATGAGGAGGTGGACTCGGATGAGGACATGAGTGACGAGGACGATGCCAGCGACGACGAACACCCCGCTCCTAGGTCGCGAAAGGCAGGCGGCCGCAGCAAGAAGCCTTCGAGCAAAAAGCCCAAGATCAATGGAGCACAGCCGTCGGCACTGGCTCAAGTTTCTCGAATACCCAGTAGGCCCAAAAAGACCGTCCGGATCGAAGCTGGAGAGAAGGGGACAGGTCTCTTTGGTAGGTTGACAGTAGCCTCATATTCACTGAAGCGTCTAATTGCCTTAAATACTAATCATTTCTTACAGCCGATGTATTTGGCTCTGGAGATGCTGCCGATAGGGTCGCGAAACAATGGCTAGAAAAATATAAAGAAGATGACGCGTCGGCATTAGCTGATCTCATCAACTGTATTCTTCAATGTGCCGGCTGCGATCTTGGAGTTACGACTGATGATATACGCGACCCTGAGAATATCCCCAACAGACTTGTTGATCTACAGACTGTGTACCAAGAGGTTTGGAAAAGCCGTGACTCAGTTTGCCAATGCCAATGTGCTAACCTCTGCATAGCAACAAATCACCGACTACCCCTTAATATCAAGAGCAAAGAGTACAAAGTCATTCCGCGACATGCTGGTGGGTTTCTTTCACTCTTTGATTGGCCTACTCCACGAGACGGATGTGCTTTACAAGAACACGGATCTGATGGATAACTTGCACGCGTGGCTGGCAAGTATGTCGTCGTCGTCTCTGCGACCTTTCCGCCACACAGCAACCACCATATCCCTTGCCGTTCAAACAGGTCTAGTCCTCATAGCAAGCGTACTCGACCGGAGAATAGCAAACATAGAACAACAGCTCGCGGCTGCCAAGAAAAGCAGGAACAAAACCAAGGCTTCAGAAGTGCAACGCAGCTTGAATGAGGCAAATGGGTATCGCAAAATTTGCAGCGACGGCATCCAGTCTTTTTTTGACACGGTATTTGTTCACCGATACCGCGATGTGGACCCCAAGATTCGAGCAGAATGTGTCGATGCGTTGGGCGCGTGGATTTGGGATCTTCCGACTGTGTTCATGGAGCCTGGTTATCTCCGCTACCTCGGTTGGATGCTTTCAGATACGAATGCTACAACTCGCCAGGAGGTGTTGAAACAGCTTCTCAAGGTGTTCAGGCGCGATGCTCAGCAGCTGGGACACTTTATCGACAGGTTTCGACCGCGTTTAATCGAAATGGCGACACTCGACTCTGAAGTTTTTGTGCGGGTAACGGCAATCTCCGTCATCGATACGCTACGATCTGCAGCGCTCTTGGAACCAAGTGAGATTGACGCCATTGCCAAGCTCATCTTTGACACCGAGATAAGAATTCGCAAGGCTGTAGTCAATTTCTTTGTTGCTTGCATCGACGACGTTTATGAGGGCAAGTTGGAAGAGATTGGCGGTGCTGATGTTTTGGAAGAGTTGGATGACGTAGAGGAAGATGACTACGAATCCCCACGAAAAGAGTGGATTAATATCAAGTGCCTAGCGGAGATGCTGGCCATCTACGACGCTCAAATCGAGGGATCGCATCAGAATGGTGTTTCAAGCTTAGATGCTGCCACAGAGCTGTTGGATGTCTCAAATCCGGATACCAGAATCTCTCTTGCAGCCCAGGTGTTGTATGACAAAGTACCTGAGGTCACTAGATGGGAAATGATTTCGGGTTACCTTCTCTTTGACCACACCACAAGTGCCAAGTCAAAGTCGAGATCAAAATCCAAGGCCACCTCTCCGGAAGCGGCCTTTAAGAAGGCTATTGCGCCAAGTGCAGAGGAAGAATCCATCCTTCTTGATGTTTTGAGCTCAGCAGTCAAGTCTAGCCTCACTCTGACTAGCGATCATGACAAGGGCAGGAGAAAACTGGGCCGATCAGAGGCAGCTGAAGCTCAAGAGGAGGTTGCTCTCGAATTGACCACAGTAATCCCCAAGCTGCTGAACAAATTTGGCGCAGAGCCTGAGACGGCGGCAATTGTGTTGCGACTGGAGCGATTCTTGAGTCTCGACACTTTCCAACAGCTGCGCCAGGACTCTAGCAAGTTTGAAAGGCTGCTCGATGAGATAAGCACCCAATTCAACAGACACGATGATAAGAGAGTCTTGTCCGAGGCTACCGCTGCTCTTTTACATGCTCGCCAGTACGAGGAGCTTGAGGAGTTAACAGACAGCAGGCTGTCCCTGTTATGGGATAATGCTATCGATGCGCTCCGCAACTTCGACAAGTCTTGCGAGTTGTCCGTCCGTGGTAATCTACCCTTGGAACCTTTGCGCAACTTGTCTACCGTCTTGATGAAGATCAGTAAGCTTGCAAGCATATCTGACTGTGTCGACGCCCTTGAAGCAAAGTCCAAGTCCAAGGACTCCTCTACATCATCTGCCATCGATATTCTGAGCAATATTGTCCACCGCGGCAAATACGAGCCACAGGAGGACGAGATTGATGACTTGGAGGATGAAGTAGTCACATTTGCCATCAAGGCATCCCAGTTCTACTTTATGTGGAAGGCTAGGAGTATCGCCAAACTCCTGGCGGCCGGCACAAGCATGTCGGACGCAGCCTTGGATACACTCTCCGTTCTGCGGCAATCCTACCGAAGACATCTTATCGAAACCTTCTCATCCCGCGCCGCCATCGACCAGCTCCGCCTTTTTGCCACCGGCAGTCTCTGCGACCTTCATCTCACATTCGCCACTCTCCGTCCTGCCATCAAGAACTTCCACCCTTCATCTGCAGCAGCCGCTGGCCGAGGCGACAAGCTCAAAGTTCTCCTCCAAGACATCGAGCCCGGCCTCGTCCCCGAACTCATCTCCATCTTCGACGGCGCAGAGCGTCAGTACGCTAAAAAGTCCAAAAAGGACAAGTTGCTCAATGATCCCGCTGAAGATGAAGATCCCATGGCCGACGACGAAGAGCTCGATGAAGACGACGAAGACGAAGACTTGTCCAAGGAAGAACGCTACGCTGCCGAACTCAAGGCTGAACGAGCCTTCTGTGAGCTCACGGGCAAATATGTCCTCGCCCTATCCGCCGGTCTCATTGAAGACCGCGGCTCACAAGCCACTAAGCTCCGTCGAAGAATTCTCCGCAACGAAACAAAGCTCGGTCACAACTTCAAAGAAATCGTCGCCCATCTGGATGAGGAGAAGATGGCTAGACGGCATAAGAAGGCCACCAAGCAGCCTGCCAAGTCAGACAAACAAGGCCTCAGCCTGGAAGTTGTGGATGATGACGATGACCACGTTTTTGATGACGTCGAGCCGGAGGAGGGCTCGCGAGAGGATTTACGAAGGAAAGAGCTACTGGAGGATGAACCTATCGACGAGGGCGAGGATAATGAGGGCGGCAATAATGACGCGGATGACGATGGACTAGGCGACTAGAAACATCTATTTAGCAAATGGGTTACGAAAAAGGACTGGAGGATGGTCTGCTTTGCATGCTTGTCTTATGTCGGCACTTGGCCTGGATTTTTTTCGTTTCAATTCATTTTCTGGAACTTGCTTGCGTGCTGGTTGTTGTTTGTGCCCATCTTATACGTGTCTTGCGTAGGGAGGGTTGGAGAGGCGAAATAGGCAGAGCGTACGACTGGGTGATGGAAAGTGGGCGAGGTGGGTTATGAAGGTACTGGGGCAAAAATGTTCTTTTTAGTTTTTTGCCCGGCGTTTATTGATGACTAGGTATATAATATTCAGATCGGCCATGTTTTTCCGTTTGCACTACTTTATGGGCTGAAACTGGAAGATTTGTGATGCAAGGGTCCCCAATGGCCCGTTGGGTTGTTTTGATATTGGAGCAATCCAATGGTTGAACTGTGCATAGTATAAGATGGCGCCTTCGAGGAGTAGATATTGGAACGTTCAATGTCTGAAGCCAGTTATTCTAGTCCCAAACAGACCAAATATTCTTTCCCAACGCTTGCCGTTCCCAGCATCGGCCTTTGTTTCATCATCTTCCGCAACTGTCACACCATATTGGTGAATACAACATCCAAAGGCACGATTAGAAACTTCTATCCGTGCAGGTTTTTTTGTGCCGGATTCTTCATCATCGGAGTGCGCTGGCGGGGCACTGCTATTACTCGAACGTCTTGCTTTTAATACTCGGTTTTCCATTTCGGCTTTTTGCTCTTCCAAGTTTCCCCATAGCAACCACAGCCTTTGTCGTAAATCACCGAGGCTTTTTTCGTCGTTTCTCAAATCAGATGCATCTAGGCCCAGGAGCATCTGGGCGGATTGGTTATTGACCACCACCCAGATGGAGTCCTTGGAGTCCTTGGAGTCCTTAGAGCCCTTGGAGCTTTCTTTGCACTGCGCATCTTCTAGTTTCAACCAGAAGCGCCATTCCCATCCTGTAACGACATTGGTGAGCGCTGAGAGCGGATGTGCATCGTTGTCCGAGTCTGAAGCTGACTCGGGGTCCGATTCTTCGTTGTCCGAGAGACCAGCATATTCGGATGTTCTCCTTTTACGATGCGCAAAGTCTTCGAGGCAGGGGGGCATGAAGTCGGTTACACGGGCGTATGTGCGATAATTGGAATTTATGAACGGCAGTTGGAGCTTGATGGTGTCTCCTTGTATTGTGGTTTCATAATATGTGGGTGCTAGGATGTCCGCGATGGATGTAACTGCCTTACGTTCGTTTTCGCACTTTACTGAGATTTTGTTAGCTACGCTGGCGGTCAGGCTGGATGCTCGGAGACTTACTTTGTCTGTTGAGGTCTTCTGGGACATGTATATTGTCAGGCGGCAGAGCATCGTCTGCCTGGCCGTTTTGTTGATTGTATCCTAGTTGTTTAGACTGTCGATTTTCCGCCCTCTTCTGTTTTGAATTTCTACGGGGCTTTTCTGAACTCAAGCCGAGCTGTGCCTTGCGTTTCAGTCCTGCGTTGGCGGCTTCACTAAGATCTTTGAGAGCTTCCTTCTTTCTCTTTTCGTAATCCCGCTTTCGCCTCAGGGCATTTTTGAGCTCTGGGCTCAGCGTATCGCTGTCAAGGTGGTCTAGCTTCGATATATTGATCTTGTTTCCCTTGAATCCTCGTTCATCTCTGAGGTAACCTTCCAAATTGGCTGCATTGTGGCCTAGTTTGATTTGCAAATTGCGCAAAGAGACCCAGGTGCCTATTGAAATGTGTTGATCTCGGATTGCTCTCGCGTGTGACCCAAAACATGTGATTTGCATGCTCATCTTCCCAAATGGGCCTATCCACTCAGACTTCTGTGAAGAGCCAGAAGATTTGTTAATGCAATCATTCGGCCAGTCGTCTCGTCCCTCGAAAAAGCCACCCTCCATAAACTTGTAATGGTAGAATAACTGATTTTCCGTGTAATCCGAAACCCACAAGGTGAATTTGTCACCCAAATCGTACGGCTCCCTAACGATTTGCACCACTGTGTCAACAAAGCTTTTTTCCTGCAAGTCTTTTAGCTCAGAAAATTTCTTGTTCAAGTTGATCGAAATTCTTTTCATGTCGTCGAACTTAGACTGTGAAGGGACTTTCTCTTTGTTGATAGTGTTATATAGGACGCTGACGAACTCATTCTCAATCTTGTTTGGTTGACGATTGATCTTGGTTCTGTTTGATGGCCGACGGGCCTTGGAGGCATCTGCGCGAGATTTAGGTATTTTAATAGACTCGTATATGTGTAAATCAGTAGTCTTGTGGGTGCATAGTGAAATTGAAGCCTCATAGCGTTGAACCTAGACTCTGGTTATGTAGGTGAGCATTGTACATTGTCAAGGCCAAACTTACTCTGGCTGAAAATACGATGATCACGTCACCGCAGCTAGCATCCGGCATATCGTTTTGTGGCCAGAAAATGTTGAGAAGAATAGATTCATCACACTCGTCTTCGACTGACTGATCATAGATACGCATCTGACATTTCCAATCTAGCACGTTTAGCAGAAGATAGCGGAAAGAGTTAATATCTAAAAGATGGGGTGCATACCCGCTCCTCTCGTAGGAATTGGAGCTCGAAAGTCTGTTAGAATCCCAATTAAATCGATTCTAGATCCTGCACTGATCTTGCCCTCGAGGACATCTCTAACTGTTGTAAATCCGGTTGGCAGCTTGCCTTGCCTTGTTGAGGACCGCGTGGCTGCCATTTGCGCGCATTTCTTCCCACAATTTCGAAGACGAGCAAAAGAATTGCAAGAGTCAGCGTAAGTTAGTGAGACAGCTTCTGGCGTGTGTTAGCGCATGAGCAAATGATTAATTCACTCAAGTTACTTTGACGCGGTACACGCGTTTGGCGATCGTTGCAAAGACGCGGCCACACGTGACCAATTTGGAATGGGGCAGGATAAGGAGGCGGGCGAAAACTAAAGCACAGACAGACACAGCTACGGTTGGGACTAGCACTGTGAACTTTCGAAATTTACTCCGTACGGAGCACAGATTGGTCGAGTCAGAGGCAAATTTCCCCCCTAACATCCAGTACTGCTCACTCTAGCCTAATCAGGTGGCGGAGTGCGTACTCTCGGTTTGGCTGGCACCAGGGCGGACACGGCACACCGATATATTGGTGCCTCAGGCATTGGGGCAACCCATACGAAGCGGTTGGCGGGTACCCGGGCTTAACCTCTCTGGCAACGCAATTGGCAAAAAGACAGGCTTCATTTCTTTTCGCCATCCTTCAACCCCCATTTCTCTCATCATCCCATACTTTTTCCAATCTTCTTCGGAGACTCCGTCCCGTGCAGCTGCGTAGCCGCACTTTCATCAAGAGACGTAGCAAGAGTTTCGCTTTTCGTTTAGCACCAGCCTTCTTTGGGGCATTGTCCTTGCGGTCAACAATAACCCCCGCACTACGTGCTCTCGCCCACTTCGTCGACCCCCGGATACCGTGCAAGCTGCATCACAATGGCGGAGCGATACATCCCCGAGCACCGTCGGACTCAGTTCAAGGCGAAGAACACCTTTAAGCCTGAGGAGCTGCGCCGCCGCCGCGAGGAACAGCAGGTTGAAATTCGGAAGGCCAAGAGAGAAGAGAACCTTGCAAAACGTCGAGGAATTGGGACTGGTGAGAATCGTCCTGGCGCCTCGCTTGGTGCCGCTCCAGACAGTGACGATGAGTCTGCCCCCACAGAATCTCAGGTATGTGCGAGTCATTCATTTTGATTTTAAGGTTGTCTGAAAATTTGAATGCCATCTGTCCTCCGTCTCCAAACCACCATGGCACCGGGAAGGGCTTTTTTCCCTTTCTAGCAGTTCTTTGCTGGAAAAGTAGATGATCGTTTTACCTGTGATGTGGGGGTCTGGCATGTGGCTGCCCGACCCCACATCAACGCTTGCAACCTGACATCCAAGCTCATGACAGGTCTTGCAAGCTCAAAGTCAGCAATCTGTCAGTGCATGATGGCGTTCGAGAAGTTTTCTTTTTGCCTTGTTCATTTTGAAATCATCAAATCATGACTGCTAACACACCTTTATCATAGTTGAACGAGGACCTTCCTCAAATGGTCGAAGGCGTTTTCTCAGACCAAGTCGATTTGCAGATTCAAGCCACAACCAAATTCCGTAAGCTTCTGTCAAAGGAGCGCAATCCTCCGATCGAAGAAGTCATCAAGACCGGCGTTGTTAGTCGCTTCGTTGAATTCTTGCGATCTCGCCATACTCTTGTACAGTTTGAGGCTGCTTGGGCCTTGACCAATATCGCCTCTGGTTCTGCTACTCAGACTCAGGTCGTCATTGAAGCTGGTGCCGTTCCTATCTTTGTTGAGCTATTGGCTAGCACCGAGCCCGATGTTAGGGAACAAGCGGTCTGGGCTTTGGGTAACATTGCCGGTGACAGCCCTCAGTGTCGCGACTATGTGCTCAGCTGCGGTGCTCTCAAGCCCCTTCTGAACTTGCTTGGCGACAGCCGCAAGCTCAGCATGCTGCGCAACGCTACCTGGACCTTGAGCAACTTCTGCCGTGGCAAGATGCCCCAGCCTGACTGGAATACCGTGAGTTTACACATGCCACAGTTAATCTACGCTGGAACACTGGACTAATAAATTCTACTAGATTGCCCCCGCTCTTCCTGTTCTGTCGAAGCTCGTTTACTCCTTGGACGATGAGGTTCTGATTGATGCCTGCTGGGCTATCTCGTATCTCTCAGATGGTTCCAACGATAAAATCCAAGCCGTTATAGAGGCTGGCATTCCACGTCGCTTGGTGGAGCTTCTGATGCACGCTTCCACGTCGGTCCAGACCCCTGCGCTGCGATCTGTCGGTAACATTGTCACCGGTGATGATATTCAAACACAGGTCATCATCAACTGCGGTGCCTTGCCTTGCCTTTTGTCTCTCCTGAGTTCAACCAAGGACGGCATTCGCAAAGAGGCTTGCTGGACTATTTCCAATATCACAGCTGGCAACACTTCTCAGATCCAGGCTGTCATCGATGCCAACATCATTCCTCCGCTGATCCACCTTCTTCAGAACGGTGACCTGAAGACCCGAAAGGAGGCCTGCTGGGCCATTAGCAACGCCACTTCTGGAGCTCTTCAGAAACCCGAGCAAATTCGCTACCTTGTCGCCCAGGGCTGCATCAAGCCTCTGTGTGACTTGTTGACTTGCCCTGATAATAAAATCATCCAGGTTGCGCTCGACGGCCTCGAGAATATCCTGAAGATTGGCGATCTTGATAGGCAAGCGGCTGGCGAAAGTGCTGAGACCATCAACCGATTTGCCCTCTTCATTGAGGAGTGTGGTGGCATGGAAAAGATTCATGATTGCCAAAACAATGCGAACGAAGATATTTACATGAAGGCTTACAACATTATCGAGAAGTACTTCTCTGATGATGAGGAGAATGCGGACGAAGGCATGGCTCAGCCCGCCGGTCCAAATGGCACTTTCGGTTTTGGCACTAACGGTGCCGCGCAATCAGGTGGTTTCAATTTTGCCAACGGCGGTGACTCCATGGACATGTAAAGAAAGGGAAAATAAAGACACATCCCTTCTCTTTCGACCAAAAATCTCCGCAAACACTACATATGAATTTTCCAATCAATACCCCCCTTCACAACCACATTTACCCTCACAAAATCACGTCCTAGCTCAAGTAGAGCCTAACGTTTGATCCCTCCCCCCCAACGTCGTCACAACAGTCCACCGTCCCTATTTTCTTTTTTTAATCTGGTATGAAGATCTTCGTAGGTGGAGAGCAAGGTAAAACGGTTGCAGGATATGATTCAGGTCCTATGGTAGCTTGAAAGCTCCAACCTGAGAGATGAATGAAATGATGCAGGAGAATACCGAAAAAAAGTCGGAACTGCCTTCTGGGCAGCCTGCGCTGGCGGTGCGCAGGCTCAAAGCGATGTAGGACATTGGCGGAGGAGTAGTTCCACCCAGCGAGTTTCACGGGCGTCTCTCAAGAACCGAAAGGACGGTCAAGTCACGAAACAGACAATAATTGTTTTCATGCGGCGACTGGTCCCTCTGCACCTTGATTACCCCGCGGGAGACGTCGCTCCAGCGTGGAAGTCATAACCAAGTGGTTATATATCACGGTAGGTACACCAATGTAGTGAAATAAAAGATATCTCGCCCCCATACGACGACCATATACAGTTCTGTGGACCAGTGAACTGGTGAACTGGTGTTTTATCACTCTCTGACGCACTACTTGGAATAGATTTGTTCAAGAGTCGTCGACCATGTTAAATGTTTGCCTATTCCAGACCCCTTTTCTGGTTGTGTTTGTCCATACAGTAAGTCACACGGCCATGACCCCGCCTGCAGAGCGTAGGGTACAATGTGCGAATATTATATACACTGTTCGGGGTTGCAATTTGCATCCATAGTCCACTTTTGCCGCCAGATGAACTCAAGCACCGCAAAGCCGAGCAGCAACGCCAGTACATACATCTGTCATGGTGAAGAAGGGCAAAGCGAAGGCTGAGCTGCCGACACAGGCTTTAGAGTCTGCTGGAAATAGTGGGACAAAGACCAAAAAGGGCCAAAAATCCGAGTCCTCGACGCCAAGTGTTCCGCCAGCAGGCCCGCCCAAGCCAACCGTCAAACAAATAATTGGAGGCTCGTCATGGACGGGTAAGCTCCCAGTCAACCTTCTAAGTGAACACTGCCAGAAACAACGTTGGGAAAAGCCAGAATACGACACCCGAAAGACACCTGAAGGATTCTCAGTATGGGTCACTTTGAGCGCAAAGGATCCCAAGACTCAGCAAATGACCAAGTTGGACCCATTCAAGATACCTCTCAGTCACAAACATTTGATCCTGAGGGAAACAGCCCTGGAGGCCAAGCATGCTGCTGCTACGTATGCTTTGTTCAGAGTTTGCAGCATGCAAAACAAGCACACCGTGCTGCCGCCAGACCACAAGTCGTTGTGGAAAGAGTTTCAGGCATTGAAAGTGCAAGATGTGAAGGATGGGAAGGCATGGATGTATGAAGCGGATCCATTCAAAGCGCTTCAAGAAAGACAGGAGGCCAAGGCTGCTGCGGACAAGAAACGAAGGGAGCTCGAGCAAGCCAAGGCCAAGGCCAAGGAGATGCCCGGTGCATCAGGCTTGGTGTTGTTGAGCAACTCTGGAAACGATAAGGGGACTTCATTCAACCCGATGAAGGGATGGACCACGGCACCAAAGGTTGAGATGGGCAGACAGACAAGAGTGCAGCTTGAAGCACTTCTTCGAAACGGAATCTCCTGGAATCCGCGCCGTGTACGTATGCAACAAGATCAGAAGAACTCCCTGGTGACGGAACTTGGCAAATTAGGATTCAGACGAAGCCACATCATCGAGGCGGTGGAATACTGCAAAGACCGGGAAGAAACCCTTGAATGGTTGTTGATTCATGTACCTGAAGATGACTTGCCACGCTGGGCTATTCCCGAAAGCTATTCCGCTGGTGTTTCTATTGGATCCACAAATCTAAAGCGAGAGGGAATTATTAAATCTTTATCAGAAACAGGATACTCTGTTGAGCTGTGTAGTCGCATTCTCGATGGAAACGATGGAGATGAAAGTAAAGCAGCCGAGGCCTTGCAGCAAATTTTGCTTTCATCCAACTCTGCAAGCGACGCAGGAAAAGGTGAGCCTGATGACTTTCTGGACATGGGTTCACCAGAAGAGCAATGGGAAGAGGAAATCGCCAGCCTAGAAGCCATGTATGGTGACGCTTTCCGCCGCGAATCCAGCGACTTGATCCAGTTGAAGCTGGAATCAGTAAAGAACGCTCAGAATGGTCAAGAAGGCGAGGTTGAAACGTTCCTGCAAGTTCGAAGACCGTCTAGCTACCCGAAACATCTGATAATAGCAATCATCGCAAAGCTGCCGTCTTACATTAAGCTCAGCATAGTCAGACGGGCCCTGGCATACATGGAAAATTCCCTGCGGGATGAACCAATGAAGATTTATCTCGTTATGGACTGGATTCAACAGAATATCAACGGAATCATTGACAGCCCTGGCAATTTAGTTGACATTTCAGCTGTTTCCTCCGCAGCCTCAGAAAACCGTCCAATTGCACAAGGGGGACGGGTAAAGAGAACTCGGAATGTCCGACCCATCAATTGGATACCCGATTTTAGAACCAAGGAGGAGTGGCTTCAGCGACAAGAAAGCTCGGCATGGAAAGATATGTTATCGAAACGACAGAGACTCCCAGCTTGGCAGATGCGAGAAAAAATCGTCAAGACAGTCAAGGACAACCATGTGACCATCATAAGTGGTGAAACCGGTTCGGGCAAGTCTACCCAATCTGTTCAGTTTATTCTGGATGATTTGTATGGCAAAGGCGTGGGAGGCTGTGCGAACATGATTGTTACGCAGCCGCGACGAATTTCGGCACTTGGGTTGGCTGATCGCGTCGCAGAAGAACGATGCTCAAAGGTTGGGGGGGAGGTTGGCTATATCATTCGCGGGGAGTCTCGACAATCAAAAGACACGAGGATCACGTTTGTCACAGCGGGCGTGCTGCTGCGACGGTTGCAAACATCGGGCGGGCGAGTGGAAGACGTGGTTGCTTCGTTGGCCGATGTCAGCCATGTGGTAATCGATGAGGTGCATGAACGCAGTCTTGACACCGACTTTTTGCTGAACTTGATACGCGACGTGATGAGAACCAAGAAGGATATGTTGAAGCTTATTCTTATGTCTGCTACGCTTGATGCTTCCACGTTTATGGACTACTTTGCTACAGAAGGACTGAGTGTGGGCTGCGTCGAAATTGCGGGCAGAACATTCCCGGTGGACGAGTACTATTTAGATGATGTTATCCGGATGACGGGATTCAGTGTTGAGAAGCCAGACGCTGGCTTTATCACAGATGAGTCTATGGGAAAAATTATTCAAAAGCTTGGCCACCGGATCAACTACACCTTGTTGGTGGACGCCGTCAAGGCCATCGATTACGAGCTTTCGTACGAGAAGAAGCCGGATGGTATACTCATATTTCTTCCTGGTGTGGGCGAGATTAACCACGCCTGCAATCTTTTGCGATCTATCAACTCGCTGCATGTCTTGCCGCTGCATGCGTCACTGGAGACTCGAGAGCAGAAAAGAGTATTTTCCAAGCCTCCTCCAGGAAAGCGCAAGGTTGTAGTAGCTACTAATGTAGCGGAGACATCCATTACCATTGATGATATCGTTGCTGTTATTGACAGTGGCAAAGTTAAAGAAACTAGCTTTGACGCCCAAAACAATATGAGGAAGCTCGAAGAGACTTGGGCGTCGCGGGCGGCCTGTAAGCAACGGCGTGGACGTGCGGGCCGTGTTCAAGAAGGCAGATGTTACAAGCTATACACCGAAAACTTGGAACGACAGATGGCGGAGCGGCCTGAACCCGAAATCAGGCGAGTGCCTCTTGAGCAGCTCTGTCTTTCTGTGCGAGCCATGGGCATGCGCGATGTGGCTAGATTTTTGGGGCGATCACCAACTCCGCCAGATGCCAAAGCCATCGAAGAGGCCATCAAGCTACTAAGGCGAATGGGTGCGTTGGATGGCGATGAGCTGACTGCCATGGGTCAACAGCTTGCCATGCTGCCGGCTGATTTACGATGCGGCAAGCTCATGGTATTTGGGGCCATTTTCGGCTGCTTGGACGACTGTGTCACCATTGCGGCGATTCTCAGTACTAGAAGCCCGTTTCTTGCTCCACAAGAGAAGCGAGAAGAGTCACGACAGGCGAGAATGCGGTTTTTCAGCGGAAATGGCGATCTAATTACTGATATGGAGGCGTTCCGAGAATGGGACAGCTTGATGAGAGATCGTCTGCCCCAAAGGCAGGTGAGATCATTCTGTGACGAAAATTTCCTGTCCTATCAAACCCTCTCCGATATTTCCAACACCAAATCGCAATATTACGAAGCTTTGAATGAGATTGGACTTGCACCTCGTTTCAGGAGCGACGGAGCGACTTCCAACTCAGTTCGTAATGTTCAGCTGATACGGGCATTAATCGCTTCTGCATTCACACCCCAGATCGCCAGGATTCAGTATCCGGACAAAAAGTACGCAAGTTCCATGTCCGGCGCGATGGAGCTTGACCCCGAAGCACGATCAATCAAGTACTTCAATCAAGAAAACGGACGGGTATTTGTTCACCCAAGCAGCACGGTATTTGATAGCCAAGGATTCTCAGGAAATGCAGCGTACATGGCATACTTTAGCATCATTTCTACCAGTAAGATCTTTATCCGGGATCTAACACGTAAGTGGCCACTTAAACACATTGTGAATATATATTTCGAGTACTAAAAGAGATTAGCATTCAATGTGTTTACGCTGTTATTATTCTCTGGGCCAATCGAGTTGGATACCTTGGGTCGCGGACTGCTCGTGGATGGATGGCTAAGACTTCGCGGATGGGCTCGCATCGGCGTCTTGGTAGCTAGACTGAGGGAAATGGTAGATGATTTGATTGCGCAAAAGGTTGAGGACCCGGGTCTGAATTTGGACAACAACAAGGTTATTAAACTGGTGATTAAACTGATAGAGCTGAATGGGCTGGATGCATGATGCCCAAGCGCTGGATAGAGCGGTGGCGTGAGAGGATATGATTCTTTAATGAGATGAACGATGAAAACTTGCAGTTTTTTTTTCTTTTCCCAGACAAATCTGTGCTGCAAAATATGCCATTATCACAATGCATCAGGTTTCTTTCAAGGGCGGCCCAAGGCTGATTGATGAGTGAGACGTTCAAGTTTAGCGGGGCGTTCAACATCAGCTTTCACTCCCAGTCTCTCACTCATCTCTCATCCAGCATTCACGCACCTCATCACAACCAAACAATGGACTCCGACTATGACGAAGCAATCACCAAGGACGAAATACAAGGCACAGCCCCTACGTCGCCTCGGCCCCAAAATGCCTGCAAGACCTCCCTCCACCCCCCCCAAGCCATTACCGCAACTAACAACACGGCTTCCCCAGTCACGGCTCTCATGGCACCCAAGCCCAAACCACCGGCGCGGTCAGCAGCATCAACATCATCCCTAGCACCGCACGCATCCCACCCAAACCCATTCAAAGACCGCCTCGGGCTAGGCGCCTACATATCCTCCCCGGCGTCCTTCCCACCCTCTGTGATAATCTACCAAAACGCCGACTTTGTCGCCATCCACGACAAATACCCCAAATCCACCATCCACACGCTTCTCCTCCCTCGCTCCCCCTCCCACAACCTCCTTCACCCCTACGAGGCCTTCAAGGACGAGGCCTTTCTGGCAAAAGTCCAGAAGGAAGCTGCCAAACTAAAAGCCCTTGTCGCCGCGGAACTACAGCGTCGACTGGGGCGGTATTCCAAGGCAGACGCAGCTCGGCAGGCGGTGCTCAACGGCGAGAAGGAGAGCGAGGACGGAGAGCTGCCGAGTGGCAGAGACTGGGAGAGCGAGGTCAAGGTTGGCGTGCATGCGGTGCCGAGCATGACGCATCTGCATATACATTTGCTGTCGAGGGACATGCACTCGAGAAGCATGAGGCATCGGAAGCACTATAATTCGTTTAATACCCCGTTCCTGGCTGATGTGGGTGATTTTCCCATGAGGGAGGGCGATGAGAGGCTGGATCCCAAGGGGCAAGGGTACCTGAGGCGGGACTTGAAGTGTTGGCGGTGTGGGAGGGGGTTCGGGAATCGCTTCACGAGGTTGAAGGAGCATCTGGAGGACGAGTTTGTGGCGTGGAGGGCTGAGTGAGGAGTTGAGTTGCTCGCGGGCGTGGATTCGGAAGTGCTAGACTGTGAGATGCATTCTGTTTGCATGCAACATGGGATATTAGACTCTGGAGAATTTTTCAGACAAGGTAACACGCTCTTGGACTCTGGACTCTTGGTGCACCGACAAGTCGTTCGGTATACTACTTACACCGGCCTTTTCAATTTTTTAAAAGCCCGTGGTCGAACAGGTATATCTCGTCAGACACTGCAACTAGTCCATTAAGCAATGTGTTTTAGTAAAAAGCAAATGGATACCTAAAGTACAAGTCGTCCTACCATCCTATTCCGTACTCGGGATGATGCCCCCAAGCGCCTGATTTGCCAGAATACCACCTAACATACACAGCCCGAAACCAGCAGCAAAATCCATTTCACGCAAAATAACCCTTAATCTTGCTAATCCATTGTTGCCCAGTGTCTTCTTCCCGCGAAGAGGCGATTCCTGAAGGGCCTACGTCGAAAATTGAGCAAGAAGGACGTGGGCACAATGTTGAGCATTTCTACTCACTGTCGAGAGCTTCGTCATCGCCTTCAGCATCTTCGGAGTCCTCGACGTCCTCAGCGTCTCCTCTGATCCCGGCCTCCGGCGCGTCCACGTCCATGCCCTCCTCCGCTGCTGCCTCCAGCTCCTCTGCCGCGTGCTTCGCCTCCTCGACCGTCTCGGCTTCGGCAACAAGTGTCGCGTCGCCTGATTTTCTTGGCCGGCCCCGTCCCTTCTTAGACTTGGGAGTTGGAGTCTTCGCCAGTGCGGCCGCCTCTCCCCCAAGCTTGCGTGGGCGACCGCGTGATCCGGCTCCCGCAGCCGTTGTCTTGGTTGGCGTTTTCTTCTCCCCGGGCTTCTTGCCGCTACCCTTGGGGCGGCCTCTTGGACGTCCACTAGGTTCCTTTGGCGGCTTATTTAGCCTCGGTCTTCCACGCGGCCGACCAGTAGGCTCCTTTGGTGGTTTATCTGATCGGGGTCTTCCACGTGCTCGACCACCGGCCTCTGGTTTGCTCACGCCATCAGCGCTGGCGCGGGATGCCCTTCGGGCAGGTGCGTCTGCAGAGGCAGATGTCGCCTCTTCTCTGGTTCTGGCCATGATACTTGTGGCGGGCTGTCGGGGGAGGACAGGGGGGAGGCTCCTTTGGTGGTTTATCTGATCGGGGTCTTCCACGTGCTCGACCACCGGCCTCTGGTTTGCTCACGCCATCAGCGCTGGCGCGGGATGCCCTTCGGGCAGGTGCGTCTGCAGAGGCAGATGTCGCCTCTTCTCTGGTTCTGGCCATGATACTTGTGGCGGTTAAGAGGACAAGGCAGTGAGTGAGTGGGTGAGGATGTTTGTGTGTGTGTGTGTAGCTTGGGATAGAGCGAGACGCGCAAAGTTGTGTGAGTCGTATGTATGCGGCACGGTTGGAAAACGACTAGGCCGGTCGGCCTGGTTTTATGCTTAGTGATAAGAAGCAACCATGAAAAATGGTTGGAAAAAGGGGAAAGAAATCACGGAGAAGGGGGGAGGTTGATGGAAAGAAGCAGTGAGTTGCTTTTGCGATCGATGAATTACTGGCCGCGGTTGGACGCGACAGAGGTTGGAGAAGGGGTGATGAAATCAGAGGGCACTTGGTTGTGTATTCATCAAGCAAGGTGGTGGCTGATTTTGTCTGTGTTTCCCAAGTCGCGCGCAGACGCGTGACGGGTGGTATTGTGCGCAGGGACCAGCGAACGAAGCGCATTGGCTCATCAGCCCCACCATCCATCGCTCCTTCCCAAGCCACACGTCCGCCATGTTGGCCCTGGCAACAACCTTGACGCCAGGTAAACAATGCTCTTGCCCAACCATCCATTTGAGCACCATTAATTACATCTGCGCAGTTGGGCATCTCGCAGCCTTGGAAATTGACAAACTCAAAAATTCAGAGGAGAAAAGAGCTACCCGACCCCCCGTCTAGTGCCGTTCCGGGGCTGGATAATGTAGTGCGTTCTCCGCCTGCGACTCCACGAAACTCTTCTTGACATCCACGAGACATTACGTACAATGGCTCTTGATGCACGGTTGATGCCATCCGGAACTCCTGACCGCCAGGTTCGTTCTTCCGCCTCGACGCCTTCGCTTCGCTCTAGAGATGGGAGTGTGCCTCTGCTGTCCAGGATGGATGGAGGAGGAAATGTAAGGGTCGTTGTCCGCGTGAGGGCCTTTTTGAAAAGAGGTAGGCAGCCTCCTCGCTTTACAGCTTGACATTTCAATGAGACCATGGTGACGGTGTATTAATTTCTTTGTCGTGGATAGAGCTCGATCGACAGGCACGATGCTTGATCCAAATGGATCCCATCACACAACTCACCACCTTGCGTGCTCCAGATCAAGACACCGTCGATAGCTCGATACCCAAGTCGCGAAAAGTAATTGAGGACAAGAAATTCACCTTTGACAACTCCTTTTGGAGCCACAACATCAAGGATGCCCACTACGCCCATCAAGAAGATGTGTACAACAGTCTGGGCGAAGAGTTCCTCGACCACAATTTTGAGGGATACCATACTTGCATTTTTGCCTACGGCCAGACGGGGTCGGGAAAGAGTTACACGATGATGGGCACTCCGGACCAGCCGGGCCTCATTCCACGGACCTGCGAGGACCTCTTTGAGCGTATCGACGCCGCCCACAACGAAAACTCCAACATTGCCTACAACGTCCGGGTTTCGTATTTTGAAGTCTACAACGAACACGTCCGTGACTTGCTGGTCCCCGTAAATCCCAACGCTCCTCCCCACTATCTCAAAATTCGAGAATCGCCGACGGAGGGGCCTTACGTCAAGGATTTGACCGAGGTTCCGGTGCGGAACATTAACGAGATTCTGCGATACATGAAGAATGGCGACCAATCTCGAACAACGGCAAGCACAAAAATGAATGATACCAGCAGTCGAAGTCACGCTGTTTTCACAATTATGCTGAAGCAGATTCACCACGATATGGAGACGGATGAGACAACGGAGCGTAGCTCTCGGATTCGATTGGTTGATTTGGCGGGAAGTGAGAGAGCAAAGTCAACAGAAGCAACCGGCGCTCGACTCCGTGAGGGCAGCAACATCAACAAGTCTCTTACGACACTTGGCCGGGTGATTGCTGCTCTAGCCGACCCCAAGGCTCTGCGATCTGGCAAGCGTAAGGATATCGTGCCATACCGAGACTCCATCCTTACATGGCTGTTGAAGGATTCACTTGGCGGCAACAGCAAGACAGCAATGATTGCTTGCATAGCGCCGTCCGACTACGACGAGACACTCTCCACCCTCCGATATGCTGACCAGGCCAAGCGCATCCGCACACGTGCTGTGGTCAACCAAGACCATATCTCCACTGCGGAGAGGGATGCTCAGATTGCCGCCATGGCTGAGGAAATCCGAAAACTCCAATTGTCAGTGTCGGATTCACGGCAGCGAGAGAAGAATGCCAAGGAAGCCGAAGAGAGGCTTGAAGAATACCAGACCCGCGTGGCTACTATGCAGCGCATGATGGAAGAACGCAGCATGGTGGCCGAGAGCAAAATCAAGAAACTGCAGACAGAAAATGAGGCTTTGAAACTGCACCTCAAGCTGGCCATTGAGAGCCTCAAGAACCCTATTCCCGCAGTCAGCATCAAGCCCCAACCGGCGGGAGAGGCAGAAAGGGAGAATTTCGACGAGTACTCGGACGACGACGACGACGATCACTACTACGACGATGGATATGATACAGAAAGCACGGCAGGCGTCGACGATTTGCAAGAGGAGATGCATCGGTACTTGCAGGATATGGGGAATCTGAGAAAGTTGATTGGGGGAGACTTGTCCCGATTCAAGAACGAGGAGAGTGTTCGAATGCCGCTAGGAGTCAGGGAGAATGTGTGAAGGAGAGGGTACGGGCAAGATTGACATGTGACGGATTCGGAAGCAGGAGAGGAGGCGCGGACAAATGAGCAGCATGTCACGCGGAATAAGCGCTGGTGTTTGGGAGCATGTGTTATTGGGACTCGTTTTGAAGATTCTGGTAAAGAGTCACATAGGAATACTTACAGGATTGATCAGCTGACATGCGAGGTTCAATAGTGACTGTTGTGTAAACAAACACAGTGTTCTCCATGGATGGGGAATTAACTACTTTGCTCTGGGGCTCAATGCCCGAAGGTAGAAATACGGGTTTATTATTCTTCCCTCTTCACCTTGCTGAGCATGGTTCTATTCCACACTTGCCACGCAGGCAATTAGTGATACCATAAGCCATGAACGTACTATCAGCAAAGACTTGGCAAGAACTTCCAACGCAAGCCTTGTCCCCCCAACTCGAGGGCCCGACCTGCCAACGGGCTGCGCCACCATGATGATTACACCTTTGACTTTCCACTGTCGGACGTCTCTCTCCCCCGGCGGTCTTCATCCACATGTATTCACGGGAAAGGACCGGGGCTGGACGAGGGTGTGTGTAAGTGGTCTCCCCGCTGCTCCCGATAAATTCCCAGAGTACGGGGGCGCTTTTCTTCCACGGGGGAAACCCCCCATACATGCGGACGTATTTTCCAGGAATCTAGGCCAGGCCCAGGAGGACAAGCGGCAAGGCAACGTACGCGGCGAGGACCATGTGCAGGGCCGCCGGCGGGCGTGGCAGAGCCGGTAGGCACAACAGTCGAGTTGCTGCCGAGAGACGTGGTAGGGACGGCGGCCGGCGCACTTGTCGGCGACGTACTTGGACGTGCCCGTCTAGACAAAGTAGTCGGACACGTAGCAGCCGTCGGCGGTCTTGTCCCAGATGGTGCCGCCGTTGATGTCCGGGCCCTGGGTCTGGCGGGCGATGGACACCTTGTCGTCCTTTTTGTAGGCCCTGACGATGGCCGGGTCGGTGGCTGGCCCGGCGCGGCAGTTGACCGTCGTGCCGGTGATGGGGTACGTTGCCTGCGCGAGGGCCGCGAGGGCGAGCGAGCCGAGGATCGAGTTTATTTTGAGGCTCGGGTGGTGGTGGGTGGTGGTGGGTGGTTTTTGCAGCTGACGGTGCCCATGGTCACTTTGGCCAAAGGGTTCTCCTCCTGTCTGGATGTATACACACGTTGCTTTGGCGCCGTGCCTGCCCGGTTGGTATTTTGTAAATCTTCATGGTGTGCCTGTTGAACTACCCCCCTGGACGGTGAGGGTTGACCAAGGCCGAGGTTTACACCATGCGTCACGGGCACAAAGCTTGTTCGTCTATGCAAACATTCAATTTTCCATCGAGTGCTAGTGGAAACATGCAGGGCTCTCTTCTCACTGGGTGCGAGAAACGCAGTCTAGCTGTACACATTTGCACCCCAACTTTCCCGCATCGGGAACGTGAATCCCGTGATACACATGTAGAGAGAGGAAAGAGAGCCTGCACTACGGGTACCAGGAGAGTTCCCCACTTTTGGTAGACCTTTGGTAGTGCAGTTGGCAGGTGCCACCAGTGACATCTCTCTCTTCATAAACCCCAACGACAGACGCCGAAATACAACCAAGCACATGTCACGCAATACGTGTGAAACCCTCGGCTCCCGCGCAATGCCACCGTAGCAAGTTGCAACATCCCATCATTCACGACATGTCCTCGTCGCCCGCATTCATCATTCGCAATCTGGCCTCGCCAATCCTTCTCTTGATCATGCCAAAGTAGCCGCGGAGCACGCCCTCCATGGCCTCACCCGCGGGGCCCTGTTCGGCCGCAGCATCCTCGACAACAGTGTCCATCCGAGAGTCGTCACCGGCGGGAGCCGCAAGGCCGGCCCAGGAAGACGTGCGCGCCGTGTGAAACGTGCCGCCAGAATCCGCCGTCTGGAACGAATCATCCGACAGCTCCGGGCCGTCGTCAAAGGGCCTATCCAACGACATGGAGCAGGAGCCGCTGCTGTTATCCAGGGACATCTCGGATCGGCATCCCGACGCCCGTCCCGTCGACGCGGCACCGGCGTCCATGGAGCCGTCCTCCGCCGTCGGCCCGGGGGGGTCGACAAACATGGGGTATCCGGTGCCGTCGTCCAAGGCTGCAATGTTCAGTCTCGCCAGGCTCGCCATGACGCCGGGAATGTTCCATATGATGCGCGTCTCCTTCAGGCTGGCGGCCGAGACCTGCGGGAGCACATGGGCGTAGTGGTCGCTGGCGCCGTGGAGCTGCTGCAGATGCGCCTGCCTCGCAGCCACCACGTCCACCAGCTGGTGGATGACGTGGTCGTCAAAGAGGCTGGGCTCGCAGTAGGCAGGGAACCCGTCGACGTCCATGGCGACGTCTTCGGGGGGCAGGGGGTCCAGGCGCGCGCGGGACATGAGGGCAAAGTTGAACATGTTGGGGTGGTGCTCGAGCACCGTGTCGAGCTCGTGCCGGGCGAACAGCGGCGTGTTGAAGTACTCCTTGCACCAGGCCTGGGCGAGGTCGCGGACCTCGACGACTTCTACCCTCGAGTTGCCAAAGTTGATGTAGTCGAGGATGATGGCGATGGCCGCCATGAAGTTGTTTGGGTCCAGCACCAGGCCCGGGTTGAAGGGGGTGAAGGTCGAGCGGTCTACGGGCTTGAGGGAAGACATTTCGACCTTGGGGCCCCCGCACTGGTTTGCTGTAGTATATGCCTATGGTGTATTTGGTGGTTGGACCTTGTTCTATGAGTGGTGACTGGTAACTGGTGGTGAACAAAGTAGGAGGAAGGCCATGGGGAAAAAGGGAAAAGGGGGAATATGTTGAAGAGTTGGGTTCGTGAGAACGATTTAGCTTTAAATAAAGGGACATGAGGGAATTACGATTTGGCTACTTGACATCTTTCCCGTCTTTAAGTTCCCACGACTTGGTTTGGCGTGTAACTGCAGCGTGGGAGAACGCCCCTTGGTGAGAGCTTGTATTCTAAAAGAGCAGTCGGGCTGATGTGTAAGTCAGCCACCCGCAGCTAGACGCTCTCGTAGTTGGAACTAGCCATGCATAGTTCTTAGTCTCTAGGTATAACCGCTGCAAGTACGCAATGTCTTGCACATAAAGCATAGTATGAAATATACAATACCACAAGTGCATCGTGACATGGTTGACCATTGCCAGAGTTTGTCTTGGCCAGAAAAAAACAAACTGCAGCATCTCTGGATATCTCGAATCAACCCGCACATACATGGGGATTTCCAGGCACAGATACGGACCTGAATGCCCAAATTTACGTATCCACGCCCCAAGAAAAAAAGCCATATTCCGACTTGAAAGCCTCCGCCAACAGCCACCGCATGCTTTGGCAAAGTATAATCGCTACATGAATGTTCCGCCGGGCGTTAGTTTCGGCAGTCACCGCATTAGGGCCGAGACTCATTTCCAGACACTTTACAAGTAGGGCTGCTAGGAAATCATGAGCCCGTTTAGCTACGACGAACATGGCTGCTACTTGGCTACTGCTGTTTGCCAACATCTGCAAAGGGAGGCCGTGTTCCGACATGTGGTTCCGTGTCATCGGATGGTACCTGGCCGTTGGCCATAAAAAAAATAAAAAAAACAAGCTTCGCAAATGTGTACTAGGCATGCAAAGCAGATCCCGTATCCAGTAGCCAGAGCAGCAAATCTCCACATATAATCCCGTCAAGATGGGCTGGCCGCAGGGCTGGATCGACATGAAGTTACCCGAGCGGGTGTGAATTGTCACATTGCAACCTGGCAGTGAGGCTTTTCTGACATTTAGCTTTCCCCATAAGGAAGTGATTATAGCACGTACATAAACGTGGGAGGCTGTATGCACTGTCTTCCATCCCATAGCCTGGAATTGCCGCAGAGTAAGCGTCCAGAAGTACATGAACTGGGCGACCACCCGCATGCAAGCCCGCAAATAACGAAACACATAAAACTTTATTCGTAATATACAATAGGTATTTCTCAGACCAAATGACTTCAGCATATCCCCGTGTGCTCGTGTGCTCGTGTCGTCGTATTCGAATTAGTTGCTCGTGAGTGCGTGTATCTCTCTAATAAGTTGTATCCCCAACCCCAACGCCTTGTGTTTTATGAAGCTCCCATCTTGCACATCTATTGCCAGCATCAATAACCAACAGTCGACACTCATCAGGTCTGCCGGCAGAACGGACAGACATAGCCGTAATAATCGAGATCGATAATTTGCGAACATTTGGCACACCTCCACCTCCAGCCAGCTTGACTCGTTCGCTTCACGGGTTTCTGTAAAGAGTCTGTGCTCTCGGTACTCTCCTCGTCGGCCGTCTTTCCATCTATACCGGCGCTCTTCTGCAAGCTCTCCAGAAAGACCTCCAGTCGATCAAATGGATCCAGCGCCGTAGACATCCCCGCAGACGTGTCACTCAACATGGAGGCGGACTGTGCGTGCGCCGATTTGTAGTGCTCTTCGAGATCTGTGCCTTGTCGGAATCCCTGTGAATGGCATCCTGGGTAGAGACAATAGATCAAGTCATGGCATCTGCGTTTAGATGAGTATTAGCGTGTCAATCCGCAAGGCCGCAAGGTACGAGTCAAAGGGTTCAAAACTACCCCTGGCACTGTTCGGGAGCATGGGCGCGCGGTTGCGGCTCAGGTTCCTTTGTCCCGTTTGGTCCTGTGACTTGGCCCGACATGAGAATGGGATTCCACAGACGTTTTGGCGTACCGAGGAGATGAGTTTGTTGAGTTGAGCGGCGCTTGGCGGCTTCGAAATACAATATACGCACCTCAAGCGTGATGCTAAGCGTTGTTGGCAGTGTTACCGAGTCGGTCGAAACCATGGACACACGGTTGCATCAAGATACTGCACAGAAAAGAGCAGGAAATTCAGGATACCAAGGCGATCGGCTTAGTCAGTGCGTGTAGATCCGGTGAGAAATGACGTTCCACTTGCAAGGAAGGAGTTAGTTAGCTCAGTTGGGTGGGATCCTGCCTATTGTGCAATAGATAGTGGGCGTACGGGAATGAGTACGGACATGGAGTAACACGGAAAGAGAAAGGCGAACAAGTCCTGATGGCCTGATTGCCTGATTGCCCATGGAGAATTTGACTACGTACAGGTAACTTACATTGTGCCTGCAGTCGGAAGCCATACGTAATGCCGAACGTTTCTTCACCGAGCTCCGCGAATCATGAGTGCGAATCATGATTACTATACCGACAAGGCACCACAGGTTGCATGACCGCTGCGCATAATGTTTTACGAGCCGACACATGGCGCCGAGTTCTGGAGCATCCAACCAGTCTATGCCTACAGGGGATGGGCCAGCCGCAACCAAAACGAAGTAGAACAATCCGATTACTGAGAGGCGCAACGCTTTGCATTGACTTTTCCCCGACACCTTTGTCAACAGCACAGATGCATATGTTTCCATTTAGGTACCTACTTGACGGCGTTTTTTTGGAAAAAAAGGCAACAAAGCCTTGCTCTATATCCAAGCGGAACATCAAAGGCTAGTGGTTTCTTGTCTACAAAGAATTTCGCACCGTGCAATGAGTCACTCACCAAAAAGAGGCCGGGAGCGACACACGTGATGGCCATGTGTTTGTTGCATGAGAATCATTCGCAAGGGAAACTAAACAAGCGACACTGGCCTGCACGCCGGCATGGGTCGGGTTCATTGACATGGATGAACCGTGGCGGGAGTCGCATAGATGAAAAATTAAGATTGAAACGCAAACTGATGCATCAGCGGACGCGACAACATGGCAGGAACGCCCCCGCGGGAAGGCCCCAAAATTCTCAAACCGGGTCCGATGATGGAACGAAGGAACGGAAACAGTATTCAATTGGCCCGACCGTCAGGCACTCGGGCAACTTGGAAGCTGAGCGGAAGGCACGCCGAGGGGCAGGCGCTACCTATTACATCAAGGCGGTCTGCCACAGTTGTATCAGCTTTATCGATTGTATCGGGCTCTGGCCATTGTCGCCCAATCACTGCAAGGCATCCGTGCAATTCCAGCCTTGGTCTCCTATAGTCTCACGGGGTCGAGGAGATTATCACGACTCACTGGCTGCTGAGCACTGCAGTACCGCCAGCCATACAACGCCATGGTCCCTGGTCCTGACCCTGGTCACCCAGCTTCTCATTTCCCGTTTTTTTCCTCTCAGCGTTCGACTGGTCTCGATCTTGATTCTCAGGTTTCCGCCGTCGGGTCCGGCAGATACATGCAGAAGGGGGGGTTAAGTTACATAGCATTTACCCCTCCATGTGGTATTGATCATCCTTGGACGACGTTGTGCGACCTCCTCCATCCCGCGTAGTGTCAAGTAAGCAGCTTGTGAGGTGCAATCTCAAGGCCATGTCAACCTGACCAAGGTGTCAACTGTTGGAGGCTGTTCATTGATTGTTTGACGATTCCTGTTCACCCGCTGCAGCGCAATAGCCGCCCATTACTTTACGACAAGTCAGCTCTTTGCACAAAGGCATCGAACCAACATATTTATTCCGTCTCCGCACCAGCTCGTCTTCTCTCCTTCACCCTGCCTTCGAAAACAGCCGTTTCCCGCCCCCAACTCAAGCGCCCATTTTGAATCGCAATTATATCATGTCCAGACGACCGCAGCTCTTCACCCATGGCTTGTCTGGCTTGTCGCAGGCCACCTCGGCCAACGACGCTCAGTCCCCCGCTGAACAGCGCGATAGTGCCAAGAAGAACTTCTTGAAGACGATGCGGGACCTGCCCACCCATCATGTTTGGAAGGTGTACTTCGCCAGGCAAGTAGAGAGCCGCTGCGTCTCACCCAAGATAATATACAGCTCGTTGCAACTACCAGCACAAGCATGACATGGCTGACAAGCCCCCTTCTCTCCTCAGGCCACCCCAAGAAGACGAGCCCGGCCATGGCGAATATAACGTCCAGCTTCAGCAGCTCGGCTCCCAGATTGAAAGCGTCCAGTCGTTTTGGCGATACAACAATAATATGCCTGTGGATAAGCTGAAGATGCGCGAGTCCATCTACCTTTTCAAGGAGGGCTTCAAGCCCATTTGGGAGGATCGTCGAAACATGCACGGTGGCAGCTGGACCTTCCGAGTGTCCAAGTCGATTGGTCCTGAATTCTGGAACCAGATACAGTTGTTGGCTATTGGCGAGAAATTGGAAGAAGCTTTAGACGAAAGTGAGATGCCCTCTCCCGAAGCCTTGACGAGTTTTCTTGATCCCGCCCGAATACGGAAATAGTCGCGATACTTGGTACTGACTATAATCACAGACGACCAACTATGTGGTGTTGGTTTTTCTGCCCGTTTCAGCGCACATCTCATCACCATTTGGCACCGCGAGTCATCCAAACAAAATTCCATAGATGGCATACTAGCCTGTGTCAAGGAAAAGCTGCCAAAGGAGCTTCTACCCAAGCCCGACAACTACTTTTACAAACGACACCGCGACCACGCTGGATTCAAGGCGCCTCCAGAGGTGCAGGCCGTCATGAAATCGGCGCAACCTGCAGAGGAGTCAATTGCCACAGAGGCCAATCAGCCCGTAGTCAAGGTCGATCCGCCCTCGGCGCAATAAAACACAGATGGTGTTCCGACTGAATGTTGTTTCCGTCAAGTGTTGGCAGGATGTTGGAGAAAATATATCCGCATCCTGCCAAGTCGTCATATGTGATTCACCCCAGTCAAAGCCTAGGGTGAAAAAAGAAGGATTGGCTATTGGATTTTGCATGTATTTATGGCGTTTCAGAGGGTACACTGCAGTATTTTCATGTAACATGATGGGAAAACCCCCTCCTAAACCAACGCGGCTATATGATTCCGCTAGCTGAATGAAAATAACAAGATTTGGCTACCTACGCCGATTCCAAGCCATGCAAGCGCAATAGCCACCCAACAAACGAAACAAAAGAAACAATGCGCCAAACAATCAAAGACGATGATGCCAATGACGATGCCAGTTGCCCCCAACTCCACGCCTTGCAAATACCAATCCACTCTAAATCACCACTCTCAGCAATCTCCCAACGTCCTTTACCAGAACCGCCTTCTGTGATGCCGAGAATCACCCCGCGTTCAGTAATTGTCACCTCCAAACCCCAGCGCGCCTCATCACCTCATCAAACTCGTCCTCCCTGACGCCCCTCGCGACCCCCGCGCCCCCGTTCGCCTCCAGAATCATATCCTTGAGCACCTCCTCGTCCACCTCCTCCTTCAGCACGGCCGCCACCCTCCGCAGATGGGCGAGCGTAATAGGGCCCTCGGTCCCGTTCGTAAACAGCCGATACGCCTCGTCGACCTGCGCCCGGTGCGCCGCGTCCGAGTCGTCCTCCTGGCGCGCGTGGAACTTGAGCGCGCATATCGCGAAGAAGGGCTCGTACGTGGCGTACCCTTCCTCCTCGGGGTCCAGTATCGACACAAACTCTGCGAGTTCAGAGGGGGACGGCGGCACCCCGAGCGCTCTGGTAAAAAAAAAATAGAACCCGTTAGCATGAAGCAGCCGGCAAGGGGGCGGGAATCATACATGAGTGCGGACTTGACGTCGTCAATGGGCAGGACACCGTTCTTCTCGCCGTCCATGGGCTCCGCGAACAGGCCCCATGCTTCCTTGATCTCGCCCTCCTCCTGGGCCGTTATGTTGTGCTCCTTGGCGAGTTTGGACGGCCGCGCCGCTGACAATGAGGCTGTTTTGCGCTTCGGCTGCGGGTGACCTGTTAGCTTGTGTGTTGGGGGAAGCTAGGCAGCCTTTGGATCCTTCTGGGAGAGGGGGATTGTTATTACCATTGTGAATTTTTTTCATGCGCGTGGTTGTGTAGAGTGGTTGATGTCACTTGGGGATGAAGAGCTTCACGGAACAGTGCTGAATGTGCGAATGGTGACTTTTTCGCACGGTAGAGGACCCCACATTGGCGGGTTTCTTAAAGCGCTGGGGTTAGACGGTTTTTTTTTTTTTTTTTCGGTTCATCAGCCAAGGGCGTTGCTTGCGGTGAACAGACAATTGACATGTTGCTGAATACGTTGGTGCTGCGATGGACGCCCTTGGTGACGAATCGCGACAAGTGTTGCTTGCTTCAAAATTTGCTAGAGCTTGCCGCCGCCCTTTTATCTTCCCAGAGCGAGCAAGTGTGGACAGTGAAGCGATAGCGAAATTACGGTCATTGTTACGACTTTGATTTTCCCGGGGTTTCGGCTTGTTGGTGCTGTTTATGCGGTGCCTAGCCGTCTCTGGAGACATTTTTATATTTGCTCAAGTGCCCCTTTTTTTTTGTATGTGCTATTTGCCCCGTGTGAATGAATGTAGATAGATACATGGTCTCAGATTACATTTTGGATGGAGGTGGACTGAATCTGTCAGGCCCATTTCAAGTGCAGGATGTGTTCGATGTGTTCCTCACTTGAAGTTGTTCTTCATCTCGCGGAGCTTGCCCATGACATCGACGGGGTCTGTTGCCCCTGTGGCTTTTTGAATAATGGGGTCCTGGAGAGGGTTAGTTTCGTGGAGGAGTTGGGCCTTTGGCGAAAGAAAGGAGTCTTCTTACATCTACGCGCATGAATACGTTGTGTTGCTGGCCGGAGTTAGCTGTGCGTTGGATGCGGAGTGAAATGCCTGCTGGGTTTGTTCGATGCGTACCTTTTCGTCGCCAATGGTAAACTTGCCCGTAGTGACGCGGTTGGTATCCGCAAAGGCCTGCAACTTCTTGACGGCATCGCTTTGCAGTACGGACATGGCAAACTTGACGTTTGACTTTGTGTATTCGTGCCCGGGCTGCAAGTTTGTTAGCAGCACGACTCTCTCAACCTTTGTCTGATCGCTCGATGGGCCCCATCTTACATAGACGACTGTGTCGTTTGGCAACGCGCCAAGTCTCTTGTTCAATGCCTCGTGCATCTCGGCGGCGTTTCCTTCAAAGAACTTGCCACACCCTGTCGCAGAACCGATCCGGGTCCGTCCGTCAGTGTCTCCTATCGCAAACTGCTGGAGCTCTCCGATCCTACGCACCACTGATAAAGAGCGTGTCGCCGGTAAATACGGCCTTGCCTGAGTCGTCTTCCATGAAGAAGCAGATGCTATCCTGCGTGTGGCACGGCGTATGAACGCCCTTGACCAGAATATTGCCCAGCTTGAACGTCTCCTCGTGCGCGGGCGTCTTGATCACGCCCTCGCAGTTCCTGCCCCCGATGATTTGTAGATGCGGCGTCCCGAGCTCGGCCAGCTACAATGCATCATTAGCTTTTTGCACGCGACGAGGTCGATTTTCCGGCTCACAACCATACCAGCTTCTTGTTGCCTCCTGCATGATCCCAGTGGCTACAACGACAAACTCATTAGACTGGAAACAATAAGAAAAATCTCGGTACACCCTCGCTCTCTCCTACCGCTACTAACTGATGGGTGTTGACGATGGCCGTCAAGTTGATTTTGCCTGAAGAGATGGCTTTTTTCAGAACAGGCGCAACCCTAATAATGCTGTGAGCGAGAATTTATCTAAGACAAACCCCCCTTTTCCCCATCATACGTGAAGATGATACGCACTCTGGCGGATTGGCAGGGTCGATAATCACGGCATCCTTGGATTTGTCATCGACAACGAGGTAGGCGTAGTTGTTACTACTCCCGACCCCTAAAGAGAAAGTGTCAGCCATCCATGTCAGCATTTCTCGCAACGGAGCTGCTACTGGAGTGAGACGCACACATGGGGATCGACTGGATATGCATGCTGCGCTTGTTGTACTTGCTGCACTTGACGAACTAGACGAACAAGTCAGCAACTACCTCTTTGTTGACAGAGGTGTGAATTTTCCACCATACGGTATTATAAAAGCTGACTTTCTGCCGGGTAAGCGGCGCCCTCCGAATGAATTGTAGCATGAAGAAAGAAAGCTGCCAAGCGAGAAGCCGAAGGCGTCTGGTGCTTTGTAATGGCTGGCAGCGGCTTGGAGGGGAGGTTAAACGTGAACTCCGCTGCTGTGCATGACGTTATGGCTTCACGTGATCGTGATATGAGCAAACACAGCACTTGGATATGCGCAATTGAAGACTTGACAAACCGAAATGATATCTGCGGCTTAATTTTTTTATAAACAAAATTTTCCCTTCTTTTTCGTGTTTCTTGCACACATTATACACTGGCCGTAGTGCGTCTTTGACCAATGGGTTGCGGTGAAGCGGTACATTCGGTATAAACAGCCAGGGTGATTGGCCTCAGTTATGCTGGGCTCACCTGTTGGAAGAAATATGTAATATTTTAGCAGCTATGGTAATAACTCGTAGGCGTCTACAACTTTTGCCCCCTGGCTTAGGTGGAATTTTTCCAACATCACCACTTTCCCCCCAAAAACCCGCTTCAACTGCTCTCTCATAGCAACATTCCCGTCCCTTCCATACAGTCCAGTTTTCCCTTCAGTGTTGGCACAATTCCACGGTCCCTCGCACCGGAATAGCACGTAATGAGCTCACTCCCAGATTGCGTCGTGCTCATGGACATGATCAGAGGTACGTACGGGGCTCGCACAAGTTGCAATTTCAGCAAAGACACCTGACCAAAAATTTCTTCTTCAACTCCCGCAGCCAACATGCGCGTTCTCAGACCGGATTACGACATAGATATAGTCACGCATACAGAACTCAGCGGTCTAATACGCGTCTGTGTTGTTCGCAAGGCAGCGAATGCAAGCAGATACAGCACGCCATCATTATTGCTCAAGTCGTCAGGCTTGTACGGGGGCCCGCAGATGGGCCTGAAGGATGTGCTGAAGCAGACGGAGGACTTGTTGCGTCCGAAGCTGGAACGTGTGGTTGCTGAGCTGGGCGTTGGTCAGTAGTGATGGAATAACCATGATCAGATGTTATGGTGTGTTTGGGTGAGAGGCCGAACCGCTGTCGAACCCGTGGCTGTATGGTCTAATAGCAGGTATGATAATGATTGCTTCTTCCATATACGTGAATCGCCGTGTACAAGTGGAATTGTAATGAATTGTAAGGAACATTCATTGAGATTCAGGAACTCCAAACCGTCTTCATCTTCAACTCTCTAAGGGGTATCATTTTGTCTATCACACCATCCCAATCGGCTTTGCCTTCCACTCACCTTCATACAACCACCATCCGCTGCTGCTCTCAGCAGCAGCACCATCCAGACTCTCTTCTTGACCAACGCCTCCGTCGTCGTCGTCGTCGCCATTCTCTTCATCCTCCTTCTCTTCCTCATCCACCCTCATCATCATTTCCTTAGAAAGCTTCAAACATCTCAAATACACCTGATTCCCCGGCAATTCCGCCTGCAAGACGGCAATGACCGCCAACACTCTGTCTTTATCAAACCCACCCAACCTACGCATCGTCTTCTCCCTCTGCGTATCATCCCCCTCTCCGCGGAGATATTCCAGCACCGCCTCCCTACAAGCATCACGTTTTGGAGCCCTACTTTCATCAGCCAAGTCCTTCCAGTAATAGTCCCATATCCAAGCGAGCGCTTTGCGAGCTGCAGCACGTAGTTTCGCCAACGACGGCAGATGCTCGTGGGTAGCTTGGTGACGTAGTTCGACAAAGGTCGCGGGGAGGCCTATGGTCTTGGCGATGGAGTACATGCTTTGTTTGCGCTGCTTGTCCTGGTGCCCGTCCAGGAGGCCGGTGACAAAGCTGCCCGCCGTTAGCCATGGTCACTTGTTTGTGTACGTTTCATGTATTCAGCGGGCTAAAAGGGCCTCGTCAAAGGCAAGGGCCATGTTCAAAAACAGTAGAAACATGGCGTCCTTTTTTTTCTTTCCAATACTGGGTACTTCGGTTTATAGAGCTTCACTCGAGCAACACACAGTAATCAAAGACCATCATCACGCGCGCAAAAGCATAAAGCAGTTCATGTTACAGCACAGCGCAGTGCAACACTGCCAAAGTGGAGTAACACGAGATAGACAACCAGAGACGGCACGGAAAAGGGGGTCGAGAAAGCAAAGACGGAGAAAGAAAAGGCATCATCCGCGTGAGGATAAAACACATGCAAAAAAAAAATATATATATATATCCACGTACCGACTAAAGGCAGCTGAGTAGGCTGCTCGCACCGCATAACTGCCCCCGGCGTCAGCACCCCCAAAATGGTCGCTCAAGACGGCTGCCGTCAGGAGAGCCGTGGCCTCCACCAGATGGGGGCAGTTCCCGCGCTGCATCCACATGGAAACGCGAGCCACGGCCTGCCTCTGCTGGTCGGTAGTGCCACCGTCAGCGTCTGCGCTTTGACTGGGCTGGCTCCTTGCATGATGGTCTTGATTCGAAACCTCGCTGCCTTCAGGATGCGACGCGTAACGGCGGGCGGGACTCGGGCTCGAAGAGTTGTCGCTGCTTGCCGCGTAGAACTGATCCCGTACAAGGAGCAGCTCGTTTCTGTCCCACCAAGGCGTCAGAACGTACTGCACCATGGACGGCGACCGTCTGGGCTGCTGCCCGTGTTGTAGTTAGTAGCCGCTTGCTGGGAGGCTGCGGCGGGGCAAGACTGATTCGGGACCGTAGCAGAGATGATGGAGAGAAAAAGTGTCCAGGTACGTAGATTGTCGGCAGTAGATAATTGCTAGCCGGTGACTGCGCGACGGGCCAGAGGGATAAGGGGGGGCGTGTGATGAATGTAATGTTGCTTTGGCGTTGAGAAGTCGTCTGCTGTGTGGATTCACCGGCGACGGACAACCACCGACCATCTACCACCCGAACCGTCCTTCAATAATCCCGAGAAAAGGTCGCCCGTGGAAGGAAGCTTTTCAAAAAGCCCCAGATTCCCAGGAATTATTAAGACGAAGAAGGGAAAGGGGAAAAAAGGGGTCTGGTACGGAGTACCTGGTCGCTATTTGGTCCCCAGCGGAATGGCCAGGCTCCCAGGCTGTTCATCTGCTCCACATGACGTTTAGCAAGACGGGGCGACGGGAAAAGTTCATGCGTGGCGATGGGCCATGATGGGCTGGTTAGTGCTATGGGAGAAGTAGTACTAGTCGCTGGGCCGATAATGGCTGGGATGTTGAGATGGCTGGATCAGTTGCTCCGCTGCGAGTCCACACGTGAGGCGCTAGAAACGGCACAGAACATTGATGCCAGGCCTTCTGCTTTGCAGTGTTCGGATGTTCGGGCAAAGGGCCAACTTGGGACTTGGTCCACCGTGGTACTCGGCACTCGGTGCTTGGTACACCGGCAGGAGGCAGGAGGCAGGAAGCAACAGGCAGGAGGAAGTAGGTCAATGGTAAATTAGCCCGTTTAATCACGATACTTGTTGCACGGCGTACCCAAGTAGCCGCGGGCTCGTTGCTCCTCTTCACGATGCTGCGACTACGCAGTCTCGCTGCGTGGCCTGCCTCTGTGCATGTCATTTTGTCGGCAACTCGCATGGAGAACAGATGACATGTCGTGTGCCTGTTAAGCTGTGTCATATGGATTAGCCGGCGAAGAGCAGCGCCGCCTTCTTGGTCAAGAAACCTTGAACCTCAGCAGGTATAAAGCTCTTGTTAAGCTAAGGCACCCTTGGCACATCCCACCAGACCTGACTCAGTGCTTGCCAGTGACAAGTTGACATTTCCATGCTACGCCTGCCCGCAGTAATGGCTTGGGGTCATTGTTTATCGCGGGCTTGCTTGGCTGGTTCGCTGGACGCCCCCTCAGACCATGGACTGCCGCGTCCGCCACAGCCCATTCTGCCCGCGCATGCTTCTGTTGGGCTCTTCATCGCTTCAAGATGGCCCTATCTTCGTCTGGCGGTGAAAATCGCAAACGTACTGGTTGCCAGCCCGGGAAATGCGCGTCACACGCATTGATACCTGGACAATCGAGCCAGCCGGCCGACGCAGGTCGGGCCCGTTCGCCTCGCCAGTCACGTCGACTGCCGCACTATAGTTGCACTGCGAAGCCGTGGCTATTATTTAAAGGCAATCAATCAATCAATCATCACATGGCCTGCGCTGGACGCCGGACGCTGGAAGCCATCAGCCACAAATAGAGGGGTAACGAGAGCACTTGATACTGAGAGGAGGGGGGGGAAACCGGACGCCCGCCGACGTAATACACGCACTCATTGTACAGTACGGAGTACATGCCCAGGAGCCAAGAGCCACAACCTGGCTCCTGCAAAACTCGCAGTTACGTCGATCCCTGTGGCGCAGCTCCAGTGCCGCTTGTCCCCTGTCCACACGTCTTGCCCTCGCAAAAACAGGCCAGTGGGGAAAGATAATGATCCAACTCCAACATTGGCAGACCAAAAAAAAAAGGCGCCGCGAGAAACACACGCTTGGTCCCTTCAACCTTCCCTTGCCTCTTTCCCCCCGGCGTAGCAGTGGAGATGGGGCCTCTTTACTCACCCAGACCAGCCCAAAAACAGCAGGCCCAACTTCACGCTCTGAGGCACAAAAAAAAAAAAAGTGTCTGCCTCCCGTCAGCAGCGCCATCTCCCCCATCTCCAATCTCCATGGTACGCCGCAGGAGGTAATACAGGGTAATAATACTACTTCGTATTGACAAGGAGAAGGGAAAAAACTCCCCAAATCCCAAAAGCCGACATCCGCCCTCTTGGCTAGAAAGAGAAAAGAAAAAGGGCGTCCAAGGCCTCCAGAATGTCACCAACCAACATGCGCAGTCCGCACCCCCAGAATGCCGAACGCCTCATACACAAGGTACGTACATGCACGCGCTCCTTCACTCCAAAATCTGCAGCCTCCAGCCCCGGACATGTCCCCGTCTGCTCATCACTCAATCACTCTCTGACTGTTCTCGCACACATGCTCGCTGTTGAAAATTGTTTCCACGCACGCCCACACCCACGAGCCGCACCCCCCTTCTGACCCGACACACAGATCCGCTGCGACACATGTTTGGCAGGGGGACCCCCCCAGCTTTTTTTTTTTTAAAACAGCGGCTCTTCGTTCCCTTTTTTTGGGGTGGCCCTCCCTAGCTCCTCCTCCTCCTCCTTCTTCTCTTGTAATGTGGGGCATGCACTTTGTTTCCTGGTACCCCCCCGGAGGGGACTTGAGCAGAAGCTTGAAGCGGGCCACTATTGGCCGGCCCTACTTTATCCCCAGCAAATGCTACGGGTTCCACCAGGCGTGTTTTAAAATAATAAAGACAGTGCCAAGACGAGTTTAGTTGCACAGGGAGCAAGCCCAAAAAAAAATGGCGGCTAACCCATACAACTCTGGCTGGGACAAGCACGAGAGCACCCGGTTCCCGTTCCAGTTCCAGTTCGAGGTGCAGTTTGCGGTTTTTGCCAGGCTCTCCGGCTCCAATCAAGACTGGCCTTGTGCATGAGTAATAGACAACCAAGACGAGGCTAATTTGGCTCCAATTGCGGTGAGCCAGCGATTACACCACGCAGAAATACATTACGCCTATATCGCACTCGCACTATTCCTCAAGTCTTCTTGATTGCACTTTGATACCATGTATTCAAGGGGTGCCACTGCTAGCTAGCCTGCTTTGTCTGCTCCCCTGCCTGCCAACTGGACCTTCTCCAAGCTTATGCCACTCATACAGTTTTCCCTTTTTCGGGCCATTCCCTTCTCCCCTCCTCCAGTCGTCGAGAACCCGCCTCTTTACGAGGCCACAGATTTTTGTTCCTGGTCTGCTCCTGATTTAGCGCCGTTCTTGTACCCAAAAGATCCCATTCCGTCATGTCCGTCCCAGAGTCTTGTGTGTATGCATTTTGAGTTCCGGGCCTTCTAGAAATAGCCATCAAAATAGAAATAGAAATGAAGATAAAAATACAGTCAGACATAACGCTTCGAGTCATATCGCTCCTAATAAATAGATCAAAAAACAAAACCAAAAACAGCAAAGGGGAGAGGGTGTAACTTTGCCGGAAGCAAATTTCTCCCTCGTTGGAAATCCACATGTGAAAGCTGAAGGCCAAAATCACCAGCCAGTCAACCTCTCATTGAGATTATAGTTTTCCACTGTCTGGAGCAAACATCACCACATACATCATTCAGAGTCATCCTCTTCTTCTTCCTCTTCCTCCACATCTTCCTCTGCTTCATCTTCGGCCTTTGGAGGTTCCCAAGTCTCTTCGAGTTTGAGGCCTTTGCCTTGGGGCTCATGAGGTCGGTATGGTGATCCTAAGAGTGATGAAACAGTTGCTCGGTAGTTGTTCAGTTGAGGATCCTCAGCAAGCTTGTCGGGAGTATCGTACAGGCCCATACCAACAAGAATCTCACCCTCTTCTTCAGGTTCATCCAAAGGTTCATATGGAACAGCTACCTCGGACACTGTCGGCTGCTGCTGGGTCTGGGAGAAGGCCTCGGGAGTAGGTGGGGTGGTGTTGTTGAATCCCTGTGTAATAAACGTGTTCCAGTCCAGGCCATACGCATCCGAGGTCTTTGCATTCGATGAGTTGTGAAGCGTTGGGAAAGGCTCACCAACAACCTGGTTATCGGGGCCAGTGTACAAATGACCTGACTTCTGACATGTATCCCATCCTTCGGACTGCACAAACTGCGTATTCTCTGAGGCAGAGAACAACGGTAACGGAGAAAAGGTAGATGAAGGCGATGTGTCGTTGGAGTACGAAGTCATCATTGGAGAAAATTGAGCCTGGCTACCGTAGAAATCGTTGGAATCAACGCCAGACATATTTGGTGTTGGAAAGGACAGACCGGCCAGCTGGTGTTGGTGCTGGTGTTGGTGTTGTGTTTGTTGCAGAAAAAAGGGTTGTTGGGGGATTTGAACATGATATGAAGATGGGTGCCAGCTGAGAGGTCGGGTTGGCTGCTTTCGTGACGGTACCGAGTCAATATGTTGATGTTGAGGGATAGAAAGATAATCAAGCATCGGTTGCTTTCGACTGGTCCACACATCACCACCCATCATTGTTCGTCTCCGGTTCGACATGGTTGAGGAGGATCTGGGGCTGTTATTGGTGCTATTGGGTTTCGATACTCGCATGGCTGTTCCTGCCCGTTGTTGTCCTCCAGATCCCCGTGATAGCCGTCTTGCTGCCTGTGAAATGGCCATCCGAGTTGATAAATCGTCAAAAAAGACACCTTGAGGATACGATATTGGTAGCGTATCGGGAGTGTGCCCTCCGTATGTCGGATACATCATATTGTGCCAAGGGTTCGAGATTGCAACGAATATATCGGTTGGTGCTTTGGCCCGAAAGTGTGCTATCGATGACACAAGCGAGACTCAATTATCGTGCGGGAGAATAGCGGTAGGTAAAAAGAATGAAGAAATCGGTAGAGTGTTATTATTATGTCATATATATATGTGTGTTTGTATATATTTGTGTCTGAAAGAACATAGTCCAAATGCACTGCAAGAAGTGAAAGAGGTCTTGGGAGGCTATTTAGATCTGTAAGTTCGGGGTGGGAGTGTGGAACATCACCGGGGGGGGTGGGGTTTGGATAGATCGAGCAAACAACAACGCAGCTCATGTGTGTGAACATAGCCGAGA